GGAAGATGGGTCATAATACGTATGTTTGTAATTTGTAGCACCTTCTTCTATTCTACATGCTATACCAAAATTCTGTCCCTAGTTCTGTGGGTGGTAAAGTGAGGCTCAAGAAACCACTACAATTCGGCTTTTAACCTTATCCGCTGTACGGATGCAAACTCGAAAGGGCCGGACGAAAACTTTCTAGGCTCTAGCGACACCCCCTTTCTTACTAACATGTTCCTTTACGTTTTTCCCCATGCCGATGCCCTTCCTTCGGCCCCGAATCACAGCCTCCAACGCCTTGCCGATGGCGGGCATGTCACCGAGCATGGTCAAGTGTCCGCGCTCGGTGCTGACACGCCCACCACGTACCAGCTCGTACCCTTCTGGCAGCTGCGCCTCGCGCGCGAGAACAACGCCATCGCCGGCGCGGAAGATGAGGTCGTCGTAGGCTTGTGCATGGCAGATGGCCTCGCGGCTGCTGACCTTGACGGCGTACACGGTGGGGACTTCCTTGCCGTAGATGATGCCGAGAGGAGGGTACGCGTTGGCCTCTGATAGTGCTGGGTCGAATTGTGTTTCTTGACGGAACCTCTTGACCTCGGCAAGGGTACGCTCGAGGTAGGCAATGTTTCTGGCGCGGTTGGGGGGCGTGGTCGTGCCAGATGCCCCCTTTGTGAAAGGCGATGGCTTGTTGCCATCTATCTGTGGGTTGATGCCTCCTTCGCGGACGTGCTCTACCTTCCGGGCCGCGTCGGTTACTGATGGCGGCAAGACATGGTTCTGTTTCTTCTCGCTTGAGCTGCGACTGCGGACCGACAATAGAGAGCTGAACGTTGTCGACTTTTCCTTTGGCACTAGGGGAGGTAGCGGAGGCTCAATACATGGTGTGAGACGATATTTGATCCATTCATTTACGTCGTGAAAGTCGATATTGTACTCTTCCTTTGTATCCTTGTTGACGAAACAGAAGCCGTCATCGGGCAGAAACACGAAGGACGTTCTGAGTGAGAAGTTGACCTGCGCAGTCAAGATCTTCTCGTTGAGGAGGACTGCGTCGCCGTCTCTCAAAGGCCCTAGGACGTTGATGCATCGCTGAGGTGTACCAACGTAAACCACTCCGGAAAACAGGTCCGGTCTCTGGTTGACAACGTGACGGGTGATAAGACCACCGAGACTGTGGGCCAAAACAAGAGCGCCTCTGGGCTCTGTCGAATCCACCTGGTTGCATGGCAGCTTTTCCAAGAATTCAACCATTTTACGCGATAGCAGATGAGGGCTCAGTCTCCAGTCGTAGCCATAATCGTGTAAACGTAGCTTTCCTTTCCGAACATTTTCGCAAGCGGCAATTTTCTTGAATAACTTTCTGGAAATGTCGATTGGGCCAATGTTCTGAAGCATGCCTGACGGGATGATGCGCTCTTCCATTGACTCTTCATCTTCGGGGTCAAGACCGACCTCCAAGTCCGCCTTCCTCATGTTGAGTCCGATTTTGACTGGAGCCCATAGTTGGTGGTGTGGAGGCTCTGCTGATCGTAGAATCGAACCACGGTAACCACCCAGAATTACTATATCCCCAGTCAACGTCTCCAGCACTCTGTCTAGAGTTGACAGTCCGTCGTTGTCCACTTTGGGTGCCGGGGCTTCGGGGATGGTCTTGCCCGTTGCGTCTTCGTTGAGTTTGAGTGACGATCCAAGTTTGGGTAGGCTTGGCATTTTGAACGTTGGTCTTTCGGGCAGACTGTCTTTGATTGCCTTCATCCTCACATTGGCCATTTCTCTGACGTGATCAAACCTGCCATCGTCATCCCCGATAGAAGATGTGCGGGATAGCGAGTGGTACAACAGCGAATCATCGGATGTAACTCGCCTCAAAACACGGGGTCTTGTGGTGGAAGGTCTCCCAGATGATACAGACGGACGATTACCAGATGCTTCATTGGCCATCGTTTGCGCACGAGGAAGACCGTTGGCACCGCTAGACATGGCAGCTGTGTTGTTATAGGGCCTTCTATTCTGGGCCAGGGGAAATTTCCGCTGTTCCGTCGTCGTCGTCGTCGTCGTCGTCGTCGTCGTCGTCGTCGTCGATTTCGGTTCCGCCTTCTCTGCGGCGGCAGTAAAGAAGGATAAAGAATTGAAGATTGCCGAAGGAGCCGGGAACGAAGAAAAAGCATTCGAAAACTTCTTTAGCGCATCAGCTCCTGTGGAAGATGAGCGTTTATGTCTGGTTTGACCAAAAGATATGGATTCGAGGGCGCTCTTGGGCGCTTCGCCGTCCCCACCACCAAATATCATGTTCCGTGGACTCGACTGCCATGGTGAAGGCAGGTCTTCCTTTGGGGCTGGCCTAGCTTTTTGGAGCTTTTGAGACTCTCGTCTGCGAGGCGGCGCCGGTGATATGGGAGTGTCCGACTCGGTCTCGAAATTGGTTGGAATCTCATCGGGGAAGGGCGTTAATTCTGGCGAGCTAGCGGAATCGTCACTACTCGTAATGCCAGGCAGGAAGAGCCCGGACGATTTCCTCTCCCTCTCTCTCTCCAATGCAGCAGCCTTTTCAGCTTTGGATGTTTGTGGTAAAGTGAGTCGAGTTGCAGCAACACTCAATGCGGGTTGCATGACGGACTGGGCGCCATCCTGGTCATCGTCACCATACACTGGATCTTCAGATGGGACTTTTTCTAAGATCGGAGACGGCGACCTCCTCCTTTCACTGACACCTTCTTTTTGAGACATGGCCACCATTATGAGGTTTTCCTTCAAAGGTGCTGAGAAATCGGGTTGCCGGATCGCGGGTGGTATAAGAGTTATAAAAATCGCAATTTGCAGCCGGGCGTTCCGGGTGTTAGCTCAATGGCACATGCTCAATGGCCTTTTTGGGAAGAGCGAGAGTGGACACCAGCTGGTGCTGCACCGAGGTCAGTACGGCAGATTGGCCTGAACAAGAGGTCAAAACCGACAAGGCGAGGTAAAAGAGGATCTCAAGAGTCTGGGGAAAAGCTGGGTCGAGGGCTATATGGCCCAGTCAAGGGGAAAGGATAGAAATGTGCTTTGCTGAGGTGTAGGCCCTCTAGGTTGTGTGTGACGAGACGGTAGGATTTAGAAACGATGATTCAGTACAACACTCCGATCTGAGAAGACGTAGTTTGACAATGACGAACCAGATAATTGGAGCAGGGGTAGGGAAGCACCGTGTAGGTGATATAAGAAGGAGAAGCTAAGGTAGCAGTAGTAGTAGGAGGGTGCGTAAGGTAGTCGTACCTTTCTACTTAGAAAAGTAGAGTACCTAACCGCGTATCTATACGGAGGGTAGGCAACCCACGTGTGCCCACTTGTTCCCGTCCTACCCATCCGTACCTACGGACTAAGGAATGTACCTTACGTTTGACGTGCGTGCGTGCCTTGCCTTGACAGAAAACTCGATTAAGGAAAGGTAAGGTACCACCCTCGCCTCAGTCCGAGGTGTGGGTAATAGCCAACACACACGACCGCACAACCTGAAGAATGGAAGCATGGGAGGGAAGCTTGCTGAAGTTCTTCCCGCTGTGTACCGTAGTAGTTGCGTAGACGGTAGGTGCTAAAGAGCAAAGACCAGAAGTCTGATATGCACAGAGCTGCGCCTCCCTCGCCCGAGAACCAGGGGCATCCTTCCCGGGAGTACATCGAATAGATCTCCGGCAGGAAGGGGCTCAGGCTCAGGCTGCCAAATATCGAATGCGGCTAGACTAGGTAGAGATCGCTGTTCATCTCACTGCTGTTTCTTCCGCGCTCGACCGACATTTGCTTCCCAATTGCCATAGGTACCGGACCGTCCTTTCTGTCAGAGAGGCACGGATAACGGCAACAAGTGGGAGAGTTATTGCGCAGACAGCTGTGCTTTTGCTCTGTCAAAGCCAGTGTGCGGGACATGGTCTTGGAAGAAGCCAAGCACATATTCTTTTTCTTCTTCGTCTTCGTCTTCTTCTCCGCCGTTGCGCTGTTTTGCATCAGGGGCGCTCTGGCCGATCCAACCGCTAGGTGTCCCTCGTTCTAGGATGAGACCGCGATTCGAGTAATGCTTGTTTTTTTTCTAAGTGTAGTACTCCGTAGTCAGCGGGCGTATCTTTTTTTCCAAGGTTCTTGCCTCTTTCTTCCATTCTCTGCCCAATGCCACTGACATAATCACATGCGCTGTCTGCGTCTTAGCTCCCACCCCACCATGTCTTAGCCACCAATTGGAACCTGCGTCATTGGCCAATGCCTATGGCCCACTTGGTCGGCCGGTAGCAACGGACCCTGCGGCAACCGATGATCCGGCATTGCCATGTCGATCGACCCAAAACAGCTTGTCAGGCTTTCCTGTCGATTTCCCTGGTTGACTTTGATGCCTATAATTGTGGAGGGATGTGGAGAAATGCTATCAGCGCCGACGGGTACAGGTGGACTGGGAGAATACCAATTTCACATGTGTCGATTTAAACATCCAGCGTCAACTCATCATGAATGCATAAATGCGACCTAAGGAGGAGATGGTTATCTATACCTCTTTGTCTACTGGACGTGCCTGCCTTAGGTACAGTACTTGGAAAGTACAATCTCGGGTATCTGAGGACATGCGGATATAAGGTGTTATTAGCAAAAGTAAGCTCGGTCAAATGGCCTGATGGTAACCTCAAACTTGCAAAATTCGAGGCTCGAGGATTCAGGTTGGCCTGCTTGGACATTCCATGGTGATTCCAGATTCCGGATTCTTACTTGGGCTGATCTGATGTACGGCACGCCCAACGCAGCAATCTATACCGAGCCATCCAGCACGAAGCACGTTTCCACGCTTCCAATTCCACCCACGGACGGACCTGGAGCTTGGTGCTGTTTGGGCAGAGGTGGACTTTGGCCTTCGACCTTCCCATCAGATAACATTTCTTATCGCCCCACTAATTACCAGACACATCTGCAGGTGCAGCTAACGACCTTACCCGCGCTTGCACCTGCGTCTCCGAGGTGTCTTTGTACCTATGAGGGACGTCATTGCCAGGCCAAGCCGCCAACCCAATGGAAAGCCTCACCCACCCACGACTGTGACTGCTATGTTGGCCCGGCTTCAGTGTCGCATCCCTGCCCCGCGAAATCCAATGCATCGTCCGCGATTTGCAGTATGGAGTACGTAAGGAAAGCACAAGGTACCTACCCAACTGCCCTTCAGCATCCAGGGAAGGACAAGGTAAGGTAGCTCAAGGAGGCTTAGACCGGACCGCCTCGCCAAACAGATTCCCCCAACGTCTTGTCACAAACACAAACAAGTCTCGAGCTTCGTTTCCCACCCTCCATTGCCATTGTCGTCGTCCCATGCATTACCCTGTTTGTTGAGCTTACTCTTTGTGCTCTCCCCGGCAGGCCTCGTCTCGCAAGCATTCCTCCGGGCTCCCTGATCTCCTCCATCTACCTATCCGAGCCGTAGAATAATCTCCGAAGCTATGACTACCCTTGAACCTCGCCAACCTTACACCGACGCCGAGCTGCGCCAGCTGTACCCTCCACAGCTCAAGCTCCAGCTGGTGCAGATCCTTCTCCGGCACGGCGAACGAACTCCCGTCAACCCTCGCTTTTCCAACACCGGCCTTCCTGAGTACTGGCCCTATTGCAGTGTCGTTCGTCACCTCCGAAATGCTGTTCTCGATCCGGACACCGGTGAATACTCATACCTCGATTGGAAGAGACGTCTCGAGGGATTCGGTTCTAAAGACGATAGTCCTGTAATCGTTGCCGGCCCCAAGGGCGAGCTTGACGATATCTGTGATCATGGCATGCTTACGGACCGCGGCCGAGAGACCACCCACCAACTAGGCAAACGCTTTCGTGATCTCTACGTTGATCGACTCAGCTTCTTGCCCACAGAACTTACCGACGCGGAGTCTCTGTATCTTAGGTCTACACCGGTCCCGCGAGCTCTAGAGTCTCTTCAACAAGCCATTTCTGGCCTATATCCGGCTAGGCATCGGGCACCCGATCTCCCCGCACTCACGATCCTAGGGCGGGTACAGCCAGACGAGACTCTCTTTCCCAACGAAGGCCATTGCCGGCGATTCAGTATTCTCGCCCGCGCATTCGCCCAACGGACTGCCGAGCGATGGAATGATACTCCAGAGATGGGCTACTTGAACAAGAAGCTCGGAAAATGGATGGAAGATGGTAAACTCATTGCAGTTGATTCAAAGCCTAGGCTTAGTGGGATCATGGATACTATCAACGCATCACGCGCACATGGCCCGAAGACGAAGCTACCTTCGGAGTTCTACGATCCCAAGGTACTCTCCATTATTGAGAGAATTGGCGTAGAAGAGTGGTATAGCGGATACAGCGAGAGCCAGGAGTATCGCACACTTGGCATTGGTGGCTTGATGGGCGATATTGTCGCTCGTATGGTCGGAAGCGTCGAACACAGTCCGGCAGACGGAGCCTACGAGATCAAGCAAGCTAGCGCAGCTGCCAGGCCTATCAGATTTGGTATGAGCGGCTGCCATGATACCACTCTTGCCGGTATACTAGCCAGCCTGGGTGCCTTTGGTCCTGACAAATGGCCTCCTTTCACGAGCCACATCGCTGTTGAGATGTTCCGCGATCCCCAGGTTTCGTCAATTCCAACGCAGGCACCCAAGAATGCGGGCTGGTTCGGCTCGTGGTTCTCCACCGGCCGTGCTGGCACACCGGCGCCGGGTACGGCTCCGCCAGGCATTGGCCGTAAGCCGACCCCCGCATTGACAGATGCTGAGAAGAAGCAGCTAGACGGTTACTACGTAAGGCTTCGGTACAACGATGAGCCGGTGACCATCCCCGGCTGCAAGCCTGCTGGCAACCATCTTGAAGGCGATGAGTCCTTTTGTACTCTGGTAAGCTCCCAGACCTCGTTTGTGAAGTGATTGCGTGTGGCTGACCCGAGCCCAGGCCGCCTTTAAGTCGATTGTCGACAAGTACACACCTGTTGACTGGAAGAATCAATGTCGTGGGAACCATGATGCGTCCGCCTTTCCGGCCAAGCCCGAGCCGGCAGGATATTAATGGTTTGCAGAGCTGCTAAGTTTTACCAAGTATATTATCGAGAAACAAGCAGTGGTAATTACTACATAGGATAGAGGAGAAAGTGCTTTGTGCATAGACGAGTGGCAGGTCACCGCATCCTGAGTAGCGTCACGATCTACATAGAACCATTGCTTTTTGTTGAGCTTCCCTTTTTATCGTTCATGTCTGGGTTGAGTGTGTTAGGGTCTATCCTTAAAGGGCGAAGTTATGTACTCGTGTAACATGTCTGTTTAGAGCTAGAGATCTCCCGAAGCCCATGATCAGAAATGGGTTTCAAAGACCTTTGAACTGGAAGCTTGATGTTTCTTCAAATATTGCAGAGACATGTGTGATGATGGCTCTTGGAAACTTTGGCCGATCTTGTCATGGTAGGATTTTAACAGGTGCCAAGAGCTCAAGGACATCTCGGCGTCTCATGTCGTCCTTGGGATCTACTTTCTCAAGACGCTTCGCGGTGTTTGGAAGCCAGACTTAGCATGCATGCTCGGACAACGGGCGAGTGACATCTGCACGCTATATTGGGGTTTAATTCTGTCGAGCTACGCCCGGATTGCGCTAGATCCTGAGCATTGCGATTGTCGCGTGCTGCAGGGCTGGGAAGTAAGAGTCTATTGTCCGTTACTCCGTGATCTTCCGGGTGTAGAATATGGCGCTTGCTGCCTCAAGTTGCTGGATGTAAGTAAGACACGAATTGAGACGCCAGTGTAAGCGGGCTGTTGTTCTGAAGGAAGACCCTCTCACGAGCCATTCATTGCGCGTTTCCGCGAGCAAAATATAGGCAAGCGGGTTGGTGAAGGGCACCGTATCCTAACAGCATCGGTAGTGGTTTAGACATGGCTGGGACATTGCGGTCCTGTCTAAGATATTGTCAATGAACAGAGCTAGACCGCATGAGTGCGACGAGACAGGTCATCAGAAATGATGTTCCTAAGTCATTTTCGATTTCATCAGACAAGAAGGCTGTCGTCCTCACTGTAGGTGCCCAAGAATACTGCCCTCGATGTAATCTATGATCCTTTGCTTAACACAAGGAGAGAAATCAGTTGGAACAGGAAAAGTGAGGAGGCCGCCAGGAGCGCAGAACGCACCAACGGTAGAAGGCCATAGCTCCAGACATCGCGGGGTAGACTGTCTCGAAAGAGCCAAGCTCCAAGGCGACACTCAACTACAAGTCTCCAACAACAAGAGAAGCCGGCACGATCTCCTAGCCAACTCAAAGACACCAGCCGCCCTTGCGGGGTCCGTCGATTCGCCGGGAGCACGTGGAGACACAGTTGGACCAGCCAAGCAGTTGGCGCTGCAGGTAATATCACTAACCTCAGCTGGTGATGGTGTCGTTGACGCTGTCTGGGAGGTACGTAGTTCCTGCACCCTGAGAGATCGCAGGGCACAGTCAACCCCTGTCGAGCTGGCGGGTGGGGTACCGCCGTACCGGAGCCCAGGCCGATCCACCGTCTCCATCCAACCATTGGATGCACAGTTGGGGTTCCAAGTTGACGTCGCCGGCAGCGCCGAATCCGTGGGAAGAAGTTCCAACTGTCCCAATCTTTTCGTCAGGTTACTTCTCGGAAGGAAACGAATGGACGGGAACTTTAGATGGCGAAAAGGGAAAGGGGAGGGAGCCCGATTCGTCTCATTCACACCCAGCAGCGCTTCCCGATGTGCCTGCTTCCAGGGCCAATGTGATGCCATGCCGAGAAAAACCGGGCAATTCTCCCTACTGCAGTATTACATGCTACCTACTGCAGCAGGAAAAAGACGCCAGCTGTCTCTTGGTACCGTCCCATGTTTGCTCAAATCAGGTTTTCTTGGCAGAGCTAGCGCGCCAGAGCTCTCGAAGCTCGACAACCTTGAGTACCACCTACCTTGCCTTTTTTAGCTGTGGCGGGGTCATGGAGTACAACGACCAGAGACATCGAGAGTAGTGTCACCGGCTTTCCTGCGGATGAGACTATTGCGTGCCTTGCTCGCACATCATCGCTGGCACGTTGGCGCTGCCGACACGTCAACTGCAAGTCGCATTCGTTACGCCCGCCAGGAAAGATGATGTTTCTCGATCCCACCTTTCCGTCTTGGAGATGCGTTAATGTGTCTCCGGAATGACGACATAATGGTGGACCATGTGCCAGTTACCCGAGCCCATCAACTCGGTACCAGACCTCGAGATGATGGCTAACGTCTTGGTTGCTATCGATTTCTCACTCACGACAAGACGCAAAGGACGGCATCTGCTCCTAGTCATGACAATACTTGCTGGGCAAAGGATATGAGCGCTTCCTTTTCTTTTGCCCGCACATCTCTCGGAAAGGGAAAATCAAGGATCTCGCAGTCCACTTTCATACAGTTCCATCCCACAGCCTGGTCCTGCTCTGCCCGCTTGGCCATCTAAGACACACCCCTTCAAAGCTGAAGGACAGCATCTCGGTCTAGTCCAACTTTGTCCTAGGAGGGACGCACACACAAACGCTTCTCCAATTGACGTGCCAAGTGGCGCGACATGGTCCAACGTCTCCCAGATTACCACCCCATGGCGGTCCCCATACTCCTTCAGCTAGGCAAGGCAAAAGACCGGTTTCTCAGATTGACCAAACAAGCTTCCCACTACACATCTCGTTCCTTCTTTCCCGGCCCCCAACTCCCGAGTCCCCAACAAGCGGATGACGGGGTCCCAGGTATGGCGTAAACGTACATCTTCCTAGCGTGCGACCCTCGCTCGATGGACCACTGCCTTGTCGATCGAGGAGGGTCCCGAGGAGTCCTACGGGGATAGGAGGGGATGGATGGTTGGAATAACAGGGTCCAACGCATGTGGGAGTGTAATTGGCATCATGGCACAGCCTGAAGTCGATCTGGATTCTTAAATACCCTTCGAACCCCTCAATCTCATCCAACGTGTTTATAGCTTAGCATAATCTCATCTCAACTCATCTCGCAATCAAAAACCACCTCCCAATCCTCACACATCATGTCTTACGGCGGCAACGACGACGTAAGTAGTATATCTATGCTATGCTTACTCCCAAAGCTGCCCTCACTAACACATCCCTAGTCCAACTACGGTTCCTCCCGCAGGGACAACGAGGACAGCTACGGCACCTCGGGAACCACCGGCGGCTTCGGCTCCTCCACCCGCGACAACGAGGACTCGTACGGTTCCTCGCGCCGTGACAACGACAACGACAACAGCTTCGGCTCCTCCACCCGCCGCGACAACGACGACTCGTACGGCTCCTCCAACACGGGCCGCGGCGGCAACGACTCGAGCTACGGCTCGTCGACCCGTCGTGACAATGACACCTCGGACAGCTACGGCTCCTCGGGCCTGAGCTCGTCTCGCAGGGACAACGATACCTCGGACTCGTACGGCTCTTCTCGCCGTGACAACGACAACGACAACAGCTACGGCTCCTCCCGCAAGTCGGACAACGACACCTACGGCTCCGGCAACAAGACCTCGTCCTACGGAGACGACTCCACCTCCTCCAACCTCGCCGGCGCCGACTCCCTCTCGTACGGCAACACCAGCTCCAGCCGCCGCGACAACGACAACTCGGACAGCTACGGCTCTTCCGGCAACACGGGCTCCTACGGATCCTCCCGCAAGGACAACGACAACGACAACAGCTACGGCTCCTCCACCACCCGCCGTGACAACGACGACAGCTATGGATCGTCAGGCAATACCGGATCCTACGGCTCCTCCCGCAAGGACAACGACACCTCGGACAGCTACGGCTCCTCCGGCAACACTGGATCCTACGGCTCCTCCCGTAGAGATAACGACAACGACAACAGCTACGGATCGTCCGGCAACACGGGATCCTACGGCAGCAGCGGCAGGGACAATGACAACTCCGACTCGTACGGCAGCAGCAGCAACAAGAGCGGAGGCGACAGCAAGGTCGGCAAGTTCCTCGAGAAGGCGGGCGACTTGCTCAACAGCGACAAGCTCGAGTCCAAGGGCCAGTCGAAGCGGGAGAACGCCGGGTACGGGAACAACAATGATGACTACTAGATGTTGCTAGTCTAGTAGCCATGTCGTTGATTTGTATCGGGATGTTTGCGGTGGAAAATAGGACTTTGTGTCTTGAAGGGGATGCTTCTGATGCGGAAGCCCCTTTTTCATCTTTTGATGATGATTATGTACTAGCGAGCTCTGAATGAGATATTAATACCATTTGAACACCACTTACCTATCCTAAAGAATGGATGAACTTTTGCGTTGCAGTGTACGGTGGTCCACATTGAAAGCATCAGGCTGTGTTCGGTTTCGCTTGTTGTTTATGTCCGTCAAACTTGAGATTGAGCCTTGCTATGCTGAGGTCGATACAGGACTCTCCAGCGACCAACCAGACTTATCTGATAATGATTGATAGTTGCATAGGAGAGAGTGAAATCCACAATCTGATAATGATGCTCCAATTTGAATGCTCATAATGCTACGCTATGGAAACACCTCAACCCATTCATGCCGTCACCCTCCCCAAAAGGACCAACAGACTCATGTCAACTTCTTTGTAACCCTCACAAGCACAACCCCGTCCGTCAGCCGTCCCTCGCAATCCATGAGATGCACAAACCTATACCCGGCCCTCAACCGATCCAACCGCACCGCCGCCCACGCAGCCAGATCATCCCGCCCAATCTCGTCGTCCCTAACGGTGAACCTCACAAACGTCAGCGCCTCGACCACGCCCGGCACCCCCGCGAACTGCAAGCTCTCCCCCTTGAAATCCGGGTCGACGCCGCGGTTCGACCTGGTCTTGGCCTTGTACTCGCCCTCGCGCTCGCGGCCGTCGTCCTTGATGTGCGCGCCCGGGAGACGCTCCTCGGGGGACTCGACGTGGATCTCGACCTTGACGTAGGGCTTGAAGCCCGAAATGCGGGTGTCGCCCGGCGGGAGGGGCAGGTTCTGGGCTGCGAGGACGTCGATTTGGAGGTCGAGGGTTTTGTAGGTGATTTGCGGGGTGGTGGGTGATGATGGGTCTGGGGTAGAGCCGGTTTTGAGGCAACGGTATCCTGCGGGTTAATGTTAGTATAAGATACTTGTAGAGATGATTAGGGAAAAAAAAAGAGGATGACCAACCCTCAGGCTTCAAAACGTAACCCTTGGTACCCGCAAACATGCCCTCGTTCAGCATCATCCCCTCGTCCCAGTTCTGCCAGTTGAGCGCGACAATCTGGATACCCCTGCGCCAGAAGACGGCTGCGTCGAGGTTGGACGACCCGATGCGCAGGCCCGACGGGTACGCGCGCATCAGGTAGTGCCGGTTGTGGTGGAAGAGCGCGTCCCCCTGCTTCTCGTGCACCTCCATGACGCCCTTCTCCGACAGCGAGAAGATGTGCGTCGGCATCGAGGCCTCGGGCTGCGTGAGTGACTTGAAGGACACGCCGCGGGTGTAGACGCCCAGCCTGCTGAGCGCCTGGATGATTTTGGAGGGCTTCGCCGCGGCCTTTTTGCTTTTTGGTGGTGGTGCCGGTGGCGTCGTCTTGCCGTCCTCCTCTGAGTCTTCGTCCTGCGCGCTAGTCACGCCAGCACCTCCCGGCGGTGGTGCGTACTTGACCTTCACGAGGATCTTGCCCATGAGGTCCGCGGGCCGCGGCAGCTCGGGGGCGTCGACGTCGGGCGTGGGAACGAGCAGGCCCGCCCAGGTGTCCTCCATGATCTTCACCATGATCTCCTGCTGCTCCGCGCTGCAGTGCACCTCGAGACTGACAATGAGGGGCGTGTCCGCCGAGTGGAAACCATAGTCGCGGATCGTCTCGCAGACGTGCCGGAAGGGCACCTCCTTGGTGAGCGTGTAGCCGTGGAAAACCTGGGGTTCGATGGGGAACATCCTCGGCGAAGGGGTCTTTTGCAGCGGCGGTTGCTCCGTTCCGGTTGCCGTTTCCTTGGGGGCGGTTGTGGCGGTGGTGCTCTCGGCGACAGAGGCGGTAGCCGTAGCCGGAGCGGGAGCGGCGGTAGTGCCAGCTGACCGGGTGGTAGCCGTCTCCGTCGGCGGGCTCGTAGACTTTTCAATCCTCTCATCCATTTTCTTCCCCAACGAAGTCTTCTCCAGCCTACTCGCCAGCGACCCGGGCATCTTATCCCTGAGCATCGCAAGCTTGCTCCTCTTCTCCTTCTTCGGCTTCGCCTGCCCTGAAGCAGCGGCAGCGGCAACGGCCTCCTCGTCACTGCTACTCACCGACGTGCCATCCTCATTGTCCGAGTCGTCGCCGTCCCAGACGTCAATCTCGATACACCGGCACCCCCTCACCAGCACGTTCCTGTACGCGTCGGTGCTCGACTCGCTGTACAGCTGGTTCCCCGTCAGGTAGGTGTTGTGGCTGGAGCTGATAAAGTAGCTCGAGAGCGGGTACGACAGGTCCTCCTCGTGGACGGGGCGGGTGATGGCCGAGGCGGACGAGGTCATGTAGTTGAGGAAGCCGTTGAAGTCGAGTTCCTCTGGCGGTGATGCTGCTGCTGCTGCTTCAGACGTGTTGGCCACCAGGCACTCGGGCGTCTCCTCGGCCTGGACGTTCTTCACAAACGAGGCAATCTGCTCCTTGTGCCACTTCTTGTCGTCCTGGCCGGCGTGGACGTTGAAGATCTTTGTCAGGTGCGGTATGACCGAGTCGCCGAGCGTCTTGACGGTGCGCTCCGTCTCGCTGGCGCCGCCGCCGGCCTGGTATCTCAGCGAGGGCTTGGAGGGGTCCGATGTCGCGGACACGATGGTGCCCTGGGGCAGAGGGGCTGCTGCCGGTGTTGTTGCCGCTGCAGGCGCTGTTGGTGCTGCTGTGTCCGCCATGATCTGTTCTTTTGTAGTGATGGTTTTGATGAGGCGGTGAAGAGGAGTAACAGAGAGAATAGAGGAGAGAAGAGGTTCAAAAAGGGTGATAAGAAATAAATTTGCGATGAACGGTGAGAAAACAAGAATAGTGAGACGATGGATGATGCAAGCTGAACCACGAGATACAATCCGCGTCTCGTGTCCCGGTATCAATCAGCCACTAGGCATAGGTAGCGCGAGCTTGTGATACTTCAACGGAAAAAGGTTACGAATGTTTCCAGGTTGAGAGAGCTACAAGAGCTACGTAAGTCAAGCCAAAAAGCCAAGCTACTCTGACTAGGTACTCGGCTCGCTATCCCGAAGGTCCTAATGTCAATATGTGGGCAGTACGTCAACCCGCGCCCCAAGCTTCCCCTTCCCCCAGCCAAAAAAGAGGTCCAGTCGTGGGTGATGATCCATGGGTAGGGGACCTAGGAAACGACTGCCATTCAATCTTGATTTTTGACCCGCTACGCCGCTTGGGCAAAAAATAGAAAATCCAGTTATGTTTCAGCTTGGCAAGGGGGTGGGAACACGACCAGCACAGAGCTAAGTGGTTCTCCTTTCTCTTCTTCAGGGGGCCCGGTATAAAGCTCGCTCATGGAAAGTGGTGAGCTGAGGCGTCCCGTCCAGTGACAGCCAGTCTCCTTCCCCCCTTCCATGGATGATGTGGGATGTCGTCACAGGGTTCGTTCTAGCGGTAAAGAAACCCGACATCAAAAGCCCAGAATCTCACCGCAAAGAAACCTGACCCCTGGGCGGCCCCCTCCCCCTTCCTCTTATCGATAGTGTCAACCCCGCCAAAAGTTGAACCCCTCATTTTTGTTTAGTGCCGGTTCTTGTCGTCTGCAATATTATCCCTGTACCCTTCAGCTCCAATCTCAAGTTAGTGCTCATGAAATCAACGTAGTGACAAGTAAGGTTACAACGATTTGCGATATCAATTGAAATCACAAGAGCAATCTCCATTTTCATGATCGAGGCCTTGTAACTATGTTTAAAACAGTTTGAGCATAATTATGAGGGACGGGCCGCACCGGCTTCAGGGTGTGGGCCAAACTCATGCTTACAGTCGCGTTCATCCTGGCTCGCCTCATCTTTCAGATTCATGTGGTGTAGAGTTACAGATCATATAATCACTCGATTGCCAGCTACTCATGCTAGTATCACATACGTATATATGTGTGTCGCTTAAAAGTGCTTGAATATTGTTCGCTCATAAGTGTCGTCAGGTCATAAGGCGTGATAGCGATAGTTTACACAAAATCCATCCACCATCCACCCACCGTCTATATACTTACCTCTTCAGAATGTTAAAGTCGTTTCTCTCACAAATCCCCTTTCTCACATTGCCACAACGAGACATGCTCAGCGCCCATCATGGCCGTATGGGCGACGTGACCGAAGTCCAGGTATTCGCTTTGCTCATCGTCCGCTTCCTCATCATGGCCATGATATCCGCCTCCATATGTTCGATATTCCTCTCTAGATCGGCGTCCTCAACGCGGAACTGGCTCTCGCGCCGCCTGTCAAATACGATCCACCCGCCGACGATGAGAATCGTCAGGGGCACAGTGATGGCGAAGTACACCCACAACTCCTTGGAGATGACGGGGTCGGCGTCTACCCTGGCAGTCAGCAAACAAGAAATCTTTTGACGGGAATAACCTAGCCCCCCTATGCCGAGAATGTTGTGTTTCTATGACAAGAAGGCCACACTACGTACCTTTGGCAAAGTCGAAAAACGTCATGCTGAAAACAGACGCCAGAAAAGTGCCGGGAAGGAAAACGGCACCGAGTAGGGAAATCGTCTTCATCGCCGTGCTGTCTCGCTTACTCGCGTGCGCAAGTCGTCGTTGCTCACCGGCCATCTGGAACTGAATCTTGGACTCTCGTTGGGAAAGCAGGTTATACAGCTGTCTTGATCGTCAGCATTCCACTCGAAGAGCATCCACATCCCAGCGGCCCCCAGCCCCAGGAGCAGTGAGCAAGAGGGCCTCGAGATAACATACCGCACTACGCTGAATATGCAACCTCTCCAACGTCGTCGCCTGATAATTCTCAATTCCCGTCAACTTCAAGCTGTAAAACTGTAACCGCGCCACCATGCTCCGGTGGAGCTTATCAATCAGCGGCGTATCGTGCTCCTTGGGCACCTTCTCCTTGAACTTGACCAGCCCGGCGTCAATCTCCTTGACGATGGCCTGGTACGCCTGCGGCCGCTTCCAGAGAACCTGGCTATGGCACTCGACGAGATCGCGGCTGATGGCGTCGACCTCGAGGTGCCCGTCCTGGCTGACGTACCCCTCCTCGTCCTCGATCTCGTTGCGCATGCTGACGGCGTGCTCCAGCTTGCGCAGCCAGTCGCGCGCGTCGCGCTGCTTCTGATCCGTCGTCGACGACAGGTCGTGCGAAAGGATGATGATGGGGAGGAGCATCGGGTGGCCGGCCTGCTGGGCGCAAAAGGTGAGGTGCTGGATGGCGGCGACAATGTCGGAGCTCGGGGTGCCTTTGACGTAGCCCGACGTGATGCCACTGCTGAAGCAGTGGGAGAGCATGAGCTCCCACCCGCGCGTCTTGCCCTTTTTCCGGACGTCGGACTTGCGGAAAATGATTTCTGGATAGCGGCATTAGTCGATTGGTGTTGCTCTCTCGACTCAATGGGAAAAGGATAACACCAACGCAAAGTGGGATCCTCATCGTCCTGGTCGTAGGCGCACCAGAAAAAGGGGCCGACGACGCTGGTGCCCTCGATGGCTCTAAAGGGCAGTCGCATAGCCCGGACCATGGATTGGTATGCATCCGCAGTGAAGGAGATGGTGTGAGGCGTAAATGTGTCCTTGTGCTTGGCATTTTTTTGAAGTCTGGGATGGGTCAGTTTGAAGCTCTAATGTGAGCGAGATGGATGAACGGGGAGTTGCGGACACCAATCGAATGCCATTGAGCAATTTGACGCCCTCCTTCAGCTTCGGTGGCTCAAAAGCGCCCTGTCATATTTACCGTGTTAGTGAAAAACAACTCTCACGAAGCTCAATCTCACTGAGCGTGAGCTACAATTACACGGTTTCCGTCCATACCCGGCGATGCAAGAAATTATCAAACTCATCCATGGTCAAGGGATGCTCCTCGCACGAATTGTAAAAAGGGTCCTATCAATTGAGTTAGTTTACGGCCATGAATGTCACAGCTTTGCTCGAGGCCCCCCATCCTGTTGTTCTCCTCGTTGGATGGGCGCGTGATTGGCAACTCACCGAGTAGTTGAGAATCTCGACATAGTGCGTTGCCTCCGAGACTTGGCGGCACTTGCTGACATGTTCGCGGAACATGTAGTCGTCCATCTTGAACCAATTGAGCCGTTACCCAGCCACGCTTCAGTACAATTATTCCACGGGATGAGGGGGAAAAAGACAAATCAACAGCAAGGCTACTCCCAGAAAGCGAAAAGGGAAATAATAAAAAAAAGAGGTCTGGAGGCTCCTGCAGGTTGAGTTCATGGCTCCAGACCGGGCTCCTTTCATAAGCCGCGCCCAGCCCCGTGACTTTGCACCATGTCTGCAGCAAGAAAGCAGCAGCGGTGGTGGTCTTTTTCGGGGCCAGGTCCAGTCCGGCCCATGCAACAATCTGCACTCCAAAGTAACCCGCCTTGTAATTGGTCGAGTTTACAGTATCCGTACGGATACCACAAGCTCGAATCAATCCCCCAGTGAAATCGCTCACTGGATACACTCACCTTGCCACAGCTTTGACAGCACATGGTAACAAGGGCCAAAGGTAAGATTTCGGGGATTTGGGCGGGTTTCCTCATATCGCCTACCAAAGCTTGAAGCCTCTACTCCGTAGGCCCTCTCTGAACATCAGAATCAGGACTGGGCTAGTACCAAGGTCCCCTGAGCGATGGAGCCGACCCGACGACACTTTCGTCCCGCGGCCCCTGCCCCAATCCCCGCACCTCCACTCTGTCACCGCCAGAACGAACCGCTGTTTCTCTCTGCATTAATAGGCCCGGATAAGGGGCCCATTGGAGCTTGTTTGGACGCTTAGCTCACCCAAAGCGTGGGGGGAGGCGGGCGATTTCATAAAGCTGCCACGCTACAAAGGACATCCTTAAGATCGGGTCGCCAATTCTTACCCACACGTCCGACCGAACCCAACGTTGACAACTGCAGCATCACGCACATTCAACGGGAATGCAGAAACGTAGATCAGTATGCATGATGCTGCAGCAAAAGCTCCTGCTTCTGCTTACCCGAAAGGCATCACGACCGTCGAGGTTTGTATGTAGGCCGGAAATCTTATGCACTTTTCCACACTTCTGACCAATCTCCACCTCAACGCCCTGGACATCTCCGTCTAGGCCCATCTCATTTGCCAAGGACTGCATCCGGCGGCCTCCATGGGTGGTACCACGACACCTTGGAAATCGAAAGCTCCGCCTCCAGGCCAGGTGGAATATAATCGTTGTTAGGTATTGATGTAACCAAGTGATACGGTGACAACTCTGCTCTTCTTGCGCTTTGCCATCTTTCCAGGACCGTTCGAGCCTTCAACCCAATGCCCCCCCCCTCTCTTCGTTGCTATCCTTACCTTTTTGTTTTCCAAACCGTCGACCGGGCGCCCAAAGCACTGCAGACATCCCTATCGAGACTCTGGCTTCTTCTGCCAGGTACCATATACTATTCAAACACTGCTCGTAGACCGAGGCCCACAAGTCCACCTTTGCTGGCAGCTCAACTCGTACTCAGGCGAGACATTAGAAGTCGGTAAAAAGATGGCCATATCTAGAGCATTGCGTTAGCAAAGGTCACATCTCACCAGGTCACGAAGAGAACTCACTCGTCGTGTCCGGCTGAACCGTATCGTTCGGGATCCTCGGGGTATCTATCAAACTGGCTGGCGTCACCGGCACCGGCCTTGACCGGGGGAGTGTACGGCGCATCAATGTCCTTGCGAGCCAGCCTGTCCCACGTGACCTCAGTGAACCACGGGTGGTTCTTGACATCGTTTGGACCAGCGTACAGGTTACCCAACCGCTTGGTGAGATCCGCTGTGATCAGCTTCTCCAACAGGTCCTGCGCATCCGGGTTGATATAGGCAGGGTATTTCACCTTGCCCTTGAGGATATTTTCGTAAATCTTCATTGGCGACCCGCTGTCCCAGAACGGTGTATACCCGCACAGCATCTCGTATATCAAGATTCCCAGGGACCACCTAAGACCAGGGGGTTAGCAATTGTGAAAGAACTGCAACCTTTTGTGAGAAGGCCACCTTACCAATCTACGGATTTGTTGTAGCCCTTGTTCGAGACTACCTCGGGGGCCAGATAGTCTGGAGTACCACAAAGCGTCCATGTCTTGTCCGGCACTCGCTTGGCGAAACCAAAATCTGTTATCTTAAGATGTCCATGCCGGTCGAGCAGCAGGTTCTCTGGCTTGAGATCTCTGTAGATGATGTTTCTCGAGTGCATATACTCGAGCGCTAACGTGACTTCGGCGGCGTAGAATTTCGCGACAGGGTTGGGGAAGCGCTGTGGAAAGGGATCAGCTGGGTTAGCTCGGGCCAGCAGGAATCAAAATCACTTAAGATTGCAACTTACCCCGGACTTCCTCAACAGCGAAAACAGCTCACCACCTTCAACAAAGTCCATCACCATGTACAAGTTCTTGGAGTCCTGGAATGTGCCCCAGAGCGTGATCAGGAACGGGTGTTTGACCTCGCCCAACATCTTCCTCTCGTCATTGGTGTGTTCGACCTGCTTCATCTTGACGACCTGCGCCTTCTTCAGCACCTTGACGGCATAGAAGCGCTGGTTGTGCTTGGACTGCACCAGGTGCACTCTTCCGAAACTACCAGTTCCTAACGTTCGCAAGATGTCAAAGTCGGTCAACGTATATTTCCCCTTTGTCTGACGGACCTGCTGGTCCGAGACCTGTTGTGGCATGCCGTGCTGCTGCTGCTGTTGTTGCTGCTGCTGCGGCTGATGTTGCGGCGGCTGGGGCGGGTGTAGCATCGACTGAGCTTGCTGCTGTTGAAGTCGCGCGGGATCGCTTCCGGGGCTCGGGTTCGGCTGGGAGGGTTGGGTCGGCTGAGCTAGGTAATTGTTGTTGGAGGTATGTCCGTTGTTCGAGCCGTCATGCTGAGTCGGATTGATTAGGTTGTTGATGCTTGGGAGGTTCTGTTGCGATCCACCTTGTTGATTGTAATGCGGCTGGTGAGAGCCCGACTGGTTGGGCGGGTGGACAGTGACAGGATACATCTGCTGCTGCTTGGCCCCGTCGGAAGGCGAGGTCAAATCCAAATCTTCCTGCTGCTTCAGTGCAGGCAGGGAAGGCGGCTGGGAGGTTGAGGAGAGAGACGACAAGGTAGTCGAGATGGAACTGTCGAAAGGCTTGGAGGAGGTAGGCGTTACCGGGCTGGTGGGTAGACTGGAGCCTTGAGAGTCTTGATTACCCTCCCTCGTCCGCTTTTTCTTGAGAAACCCGAGGGTAGGCATATGAAAGTCGGGGAAAGGAAGAAGGGCTGCGTGCCCCGTGAGGAAATGGTGTAGAAGCGCAGGTCAAGGGCCCACGACGTTTGCAGTTGGATGATGGGGGAGGAACGGTCGCAAAGTGATTCGTCGCTCCAAGGGACAGCCCGGTTGCGCTGGTCGTGTCCTTTTTTTGGGGGGGTGTGAGGTGAGCAGTGAATTGGCCGAAAGAGGAGCGCGGGGAAAGCTGAGAGCTGTGCTTTTGCTTCTTTCCTGCTAAGGTACGCTTTCAAGTACAAGTGGGAAAGCCGCGCCTATTGTCGTTAGGAACAATGGGGCCAGGTTTGGCGCATACTTTTCGATCAAGGGGAAAAAGGGAAACCGGGATAGAAGGGAAGAGCGGGAAAGCTCTAACAGCGTTCGATTCAAGGGGAAGAAACGTACAGTTCCGAGAGTCCTTCAAAGTCAGGTACTACGAGCAGGGAGCAAGCACGCAGGTTAAGCAAACCCGTTCCAATTCAGTTGACCACGAAATGGCAATCGCAATTGGTATCTGGCCGACTTAAAAGCGGGAAAATCGGGAGCTTTCTATTTTCTTGGGACGCTGCATCCAAAAAAGTAGTGTGTAAGTTTACGCCGCAGATGGGAAGCTTAACCAATGAAGCAACAGAGTGCAGGGTCAAAGGGCGGGACAAGGCGGCAAAGGTCCAGGGATAGAGGTTGTGAGAGAAGTGAGTGTAGTATAGTGTAGCCACAACAACAAAGGAGGAATAAAAGAGGGCAGATTTGAGGAGGAATTGTTGGAGACAGCTGGAATGGAGGGGGAAGGGCGGGGAGACGAACAGATGGATGATTCAAGCTGGCACACTGCTTCTTCTACCAGGGGTCTTGTTGCGTCGTAACTTGTGGACAGGTGACAAGACTCAAGACTCAAGAGGCAAGGCAAGGTGTAAGAAGGCAGGACCTGGCAATGTGGGATGTATCCGGCCTGGTCTGATGTGGGATCTGGTCTTGCTTGGTCTTGGTGCGAGCAGGTGCTGGTCAGGTCGTTCGTTGTTGCTTTTTCTCTGGTCGGAAGTGACAGATGAATGGGCTCGAATGATAGCGGCGGCGGCTGCGTCTGCGTCCGCGTCTGAGGGTTTCGGGGACAAGGGCCCGCTGGATGAGTGAGCAAGGTGCGGGATCTCTTGCTTCGTCTGGGCGAATGGGTGAGCGGAGCAAGTGGTGACTGAGTCGTTGCGCGCACCGATAAATGGAGACAAGATGGGACCAAAAGATTAAACGACGGCTCGTAGTGATCAATTGGGTTGTATTGGGGTCACCAAGAAGCTCAATTGAGTGATGGTGTTTTTGGGCGTCTCGAGGGAAGCTAGGATTGAGGGATGAGGGAACCACAGGGAGAGAGAGGATAAGGTAGGTAGAGGTAGAGGAAGAGGGGGACAAGGAAGGGAAGAGAAGAGAAAGAGAGAAAGAGGGAGGAGAAGGGCAGCCAGTGGAAGCTGAGGTCGATGATGATGTAGTAGCAAAAGGGTTAATTGGGAAGAGTAAAGAGCTACTGCAAGCTGCTGTGTACGGATGCCGGAGGGGGAGTGAGTGAGGTAAGGTAAGGTAGGTAGGTATGCTTCCTACATACTACGAATACATAAGTGGGAAGGTAAGGTAAGGTTGAGCTTGTGCTGGCGGCGGCCGTGAAGGTGGGCGTGAAAGTAGGCATACATACGCAGTAGGTGAGCGGAGGCGGAAGTGGTTCAGTCTGGTTGACGCCCGCGTTTAGACGGGAACGGCGTGGGCAGGGACGAGCATCGTAACCATTGGCAGGCCGAGTACGGCACCGCCCAATCGGTATCGAGATGGCACAGCCGAGGGCAGCACTCTACGAGCCCAGAGAGGGTCGAGAACAAGCTGGAAAGGACAGCCGATCCTGTTCCCAGTTCCGTCCATAGGTACTCCATAGTCATAGTGGCCTAGGTACATTGTGCCAAAGGCCTGGCTGGGTTACAATAGGAAGGGAAGAGAGACACTGAGAGAGACAATCGGGAGGCAGCGTGCATGCACAAGAGCTGATCTTGGACTCGGTTGAACGCGGGGCATCCAACATGGCATGTGTGTATGTCTAGCTATCTGTCTGGTCTGTCTGAGCTGCCCTTGGTTTCTCCATCTCTGTACCCGTATATCCGAGGATTGTTCACATCGGTTTCGACTGGCCAAGAGAGATAGAGAGAGAACAGTTGAAAGTCGTCGACTGGTACATGCTGTTTTTGCTCTGATGCCACGAACAAGGTACAAAGTGCAAATGGGGAGTCTCGCCTCTCCCCCACCAAGATCGAGCAAGGCGCACCGCAGCAATCGAGCAACAAGCCCAGCAGAGGTGGGGTAGGGGCAGGCCAAGTAACCCGACCTGAATCTCGACGAGGTCGTAGTGGCAGCAAACAGAGACAAGCTGCCGGGGCTCGCCAGCACGCTCGACATTGGACCAAAATGGGACTGGATTCCAACCTGAATCGAGCGAGCAATTCTACCCAGCAACACCGGATACCTGACCTCTCTCTCACCAATCTCTGTGCCTTGGACGAGTGCGGAAGTCTACCTACCTAAGGTAAGTGCCAGTGCCCGTACCTGAGGTGATGTATCCGCAAGGTGCTGTACATACATACATTACATAAGCTGAAGTTCCCCCAGATGCTGCAGTAAAGGTACCTCTCGGAAGGTACATGTCAAAGGAAGGCGGGGTGATATTCTGCTCTGGAGCTCTTACCTTCACTTGGTGTCAATTACCCCCATCCGGCCAGAGCAGCTGCCAGGTAAGGTATGTAGCTAGAGCGAATGACCCCTCACTCGAGGCGAATTGAAGGACCAGTGACGTGCCGTTGCCGACGACCTCACCTGAAATAGTGGGAAAGGACCAGACGCAAGGTACCTTCCATTTTACCTTACCTTGGCCAGCCGTCAATCCAGGCACACTTGCCTCTGCTTCCATCGTACTGGCCCAATTGCTATCAGACTGCGAGCCTCGACGGATTGACATTTGATTCCAATTCGTCTCCACCTCTCATGTTCCCATCATCTTCGCTCACCAACTACCTGCTAATCCTTCCGCACTCACTCGCCATCGATCGATCCCAAAGAACCACCCCCACGTCCACCACTAATCACATTTACATTCCTCTCAGGCCCTCAACTTCAATCCCGCGATTCGCGCCAAACTGACACACGTAACAAGCCGACTGCCCACGGCTACCGTCACTCAACCTCTCAAACAAATTACCCCCCCTTCCCAGGCACCTGTCTTGTCCAAACCTTAACCAACTTGAACCCCCCAGTCCAACGACTCCAAAATATCACACAGACTCTCTTTCCTGTCCACATCAAGTAAAGCCTGCCCGCTTACATACCACCTCAATCACCATTCAGGAAGTTTATAACTCCTCATCCCGCCTAAAGTCGGCGTGCGCAGCATTTGAATCTGGAACTCGGCGGATCTAGATCTAGAACTCATTAGCCCGTCCATCTACATGTTTTGCTTTCCTTGTCTCGTCTCCCTGCCTAGTCACCACCACCACCACAGTACCTCAAATCAACTGAAACAAAATTGAGGAACGCTCGCGCCTCGCTGGGGCGGGAGGCAGGAACTTATTCGTATAAGTATGAGCATGAGCTAGAGAGGAACTGTCTCTCTCGTACGGTTCCAACTTTCCATCCGAGCCCGGGCCTATCATTCGATTCCCCTTCCCGGATCCCGGGTCAACAACGCCCATTCCAATGGGGAATCCCTCCAACCACGGATACCTTTCGCCGGGAACGGCCGCGAAAGCTGGAGGCAGATCAAACACGCGCCACTCAACTCTGTCATCCTCACTACCTGCTTCACTGATGTCAAAGTATCGAATTCCGAGCAGCTTCGTCCCCACGTCTGCGAGACCCTTGCATACAGATACACACAGTCTGCACTTGGCCGCCTCTCACACTCGGTCACAGATGTTCCTTGGCGTACGGTCAAATATACCGTTCAAGCCGATATATCAGTCACTTCCGAAGCAGGTCTCGAGCAATTATCCTCGGATGCAACTCCAGAGAAACTGAAAACCAGCAAATCCCCCAATACCTCCACCCACTTCTTCGCTACCTTAACTCATACCTCTGAGGTAATACTCCGGATGAAGCACTACAGTCTGGCATATTGGCGCCATCATGACATGCCCCACTATTGGTATATATCCAAGCTCGGTAGAATTCCGACCTTGTCGTCTAGACTTCAGATGAATCTTTAAGCTCCTCAGCGACCGGGTCAGGTAAAAAATTCCCGCAGCTTTTGCCAAATTATATCTAGCTTGGTTTTTGGCAATAAGCAATCGCCCATGCACACATACCATCCACCAATGATTCCGATGGCAACGACTACGTTCGGAATAATTAATAGTCATTCATTCCTCAGGCCTCACATGTGAACCACCATCAACCGGCCAACCGTCATAGAATACAATTGAATTCATCTCAGACTGAGTTATTCATAAAACGAGAAGCATGTTTTTGGGATAGGAAAGTGAGAGACAGAGAGAGAAAATAGTAATCACGGAAACGTTGGTTGTTTTCCCCCTCCTCCACCGCCTTCAACCTCTCCCATCATGCAAAAGTCACGACTTTGTGTGTGTTGCGGTGTTGGTATGTACGGTATCAGTCATCGTTTCCCGATCAGATCAACAGCTGCTTTGCCCGCCCCCTTTTTGTCATTCTCTCCCTCAAAATAATAAAAAGATTTCACCCATCCCCACGGGCTTTTTCCCCCTGTGGTTTTTTTCCCCCGTCATCAACAGCACTGGTTTAGAAACGATGTCTCTTGTCGTTCTTTGCTCTCCAGGCAGTGTAACCGACGTAGCCGCCGCCGAGGACGCCAAAGAAGAGGAAGACCTTGAAGAAGGTCCACGTCCAGCTGCCGCCGCTGCTGCTGTCCTTCTTGATCGAGGAAGATCCCTTCTTGCCCTTGCCGCTGCCGGGGGTCGTCTTACTGGTCCCCTTGCCGGTCTGCGTCGTGTAGAGGTTCTTGGCCTGCACCGAGATGATGTCGTGGTTATCGCTGAGCTCGCCAGTCTCGGCGCTGAAGCCGAGGTAGGCGATCTGGGGAATCGCGGGGGGCTCGTTGGTCTCGAAGCAGAGGGTCCAGTCGCCCTCGGTCTTGTACTGCAGCTCAAGCTTGAGGAGCTTGTCCTGGAAGTACGTGACCTTGGCCTTGGTGGGCACACTGGCGTGGCGGATGCCGCGCGCGGAGCAGCCGGCGAGCTCCGTGTTCTTGCCGTCGTTATCCTTGTCGTAGGAGGTCTTGCCGTCGCCGAACATGGCCATGACGTAGGGGAAGACGGTGCCGGGGCGGTTGTTCTTGTACGTGTCGAAGAAGATGCCGAGGCCGTCAAAGTTGTCGGGACTGCCAAAGACGGGTCCCGCCTGGCCGCGGTTCTTGGTGATCCACATGGCAAAGCCGTCGCCGTAGAGCTGGTTCTTGCCGTGGATCTTGAACTCGACCTCAATCTCCCAGTTGGTCGCCGTCAGGGGCACTCTCGAGAAGAGCCAGCCGGTCTGCGACGGGCGGTCGGATGTCAATCGGATGTAGCTGCAATCGTGTTCCTATGCCTTAGCCTTCGGTTCCTTCCCCCCTTTTCTTCCTGCCACAAAGAAACACATCTCCAAGCCGATTCGATAGAGAAAGAATAGGTGTAAAACGTACGAGTCCGTCCTGATGATTGTGTCTCCGCCAAAGTCGTACCACCGACTTGCCATATCGGAATCGAGGTAGGGCTATCGCGAATAGTCTCAGTAAAGTGCATTCAGGGGTTGTGGTGGCGCATGGGAAGCGCGGGAGTCGCGAACCTGGTTTAGGGAGTGCGTTCGGAGCTAAACAGAGATACCGAGAGAAAGTCAGCTTCATCATTCTGTCTACAACATGCGCGCACACTCGTGTTGCAGCTGAAAGGGGACAAGATGTTCGAACGAACCGCAATGCTCTTGACTTCTCCATCATCCGCCTTTGCGGTGCCCAAGGCGATTGCGGCCAGCCACAGGGCCGAAAGGGACTGCTTGAACCACATGGCTGAGGTTGCTTAAAGCTCGAAACGAAGAGAGGAAACCCAAAAGAGAAAAGGAATTAGACGGTGATGCGCGTCGCGAACGAAGGAGGAGAAAGGGCCGCCGGGTGGTGCAAAATGGATAGAGCCGCAATGTCCAGCGACGGAGAGGGCGTCGTCGTCGTCGTCGTTTCGGCAAAACGTGTCGAAGGGGGTTGTGGACGTCGTGGTGGTGGCCCGGTGGGTTTTGCTGGCTTGCTCGTGTGTCCCCTTCCCAGGCCGTTAGCTGTCCTCTTTTTTTGGCTGATGGATCCTGATTCCTGGGGTCAGCACGTTTTGGAGCTCCTACCCCTGCTGTACGCTAAAGCCTAGGTGTGCTTCAGGCCAGGCACCCTGCCATTCACCAACTACAGCGCACCTCCGACCGCTATTGGGTGGGCCCTGGGCTTCCGCTTCTCTCACTGAGGTGCGTCACTTCCAGAGGAAGGCCAGAACATCCAAGCCCTGCCTCAGGCTTTTGCGCTTGCGCCACAGCAGCCTTGCAGCACCAGCCACTCCAACTTTTTTTCTCCAGAGTCGGCTTCGATGCGAAGCTAGCCGGGCATCTGGGATCAATTTCGGCGCAGCAATCCCAAGTCAAGAACGTCACTATTATAGTCAATTCAGTGCAATTCTCTCTCTTTCCCTAATCCAACTCATACCCAGTCATACCGAAAGACTTGAGAAAATCAGACAAAAAAATGGAGTCCACAACTGTCAAGAATGCCGTCATGAAGCAGGTCCTCCAGGAGGCAAACCTGGCCAACGCCCGCGTCCTCATTGAGGTAGGTTACCCAGCCTTTCCGTATGCCCTCTACGAAAGATTATGGAGCTAACTACGCAATTACAAACAGAAACTCCAAGAGAACTGCTTTGAGAAGTGCGTGCCCAAGCCCGGCAGCTCCCTGTCCAGCGGCGAGACGACCTGCATGACCTCGTGCATGGAGAAGTACATGTCGGCGTGGAACCAGGTCAACCAAGCCTACATTGCCCGGATAAAACAGGAATCCAGCAACCCCAGCCTGTAAATCGACCCTGGCATAATGAGGAAACTACACTAGAGAATGTGTTCGTGTACGATTAATGTACAACAATACTGAAAAAGGGGGGCTTTGTAGAGTCCAGTGGAGGAAATCAGGCCCAGGAGTAGTCTTCTGAAGCAAAGAAAACTCCTCATGGCGATGGGAGGCAGCATACTGCGTCAGGAAAATCGGACATCAACAAAATGTACACAAGATTCGGATCAAAGAGCGTAACGAATGAAAGGGGGATACGCTTAGACATGCTGCTGCGCCGAAAAAGAGACGTAGATGCATATAGAGAAAGGAGCCATTGTATGCTTCTCAGGGTATCTTGTAGAGGTAGAAATCGTTACTCCGCCAGGCCCTTCTTTTTCGCCTCCTCCGCCTCGCGCTTTCTCGCCAGGTACCGCTCCTTGGCACTCGAGATCTCCCCCTCCGTCTTCCTCGTCTTGGTAACCCGCTCGACCTTTTCGCGCTCCGCGTCCTCCTCCTCGCGGGACCGCTTGAGGGCTGCCTCCAGCTGCGCCTCGAGCATCCTCGTCTGCCGCTCCCGCATCGCGCCTTTGCCGCCGGAGCCGACGAAACCCGTGCCGGCGCTGCGCTCCGGCCTGCTCTCCCTCGGCCGGGCAGCCTCCTCCCTGACCTGGGCTTCCTTCTTGGCCCCGACGTTGAGACCGCCCCGGAGCAGCTGCCGCTTGTCCACCACCTGCCCGTCTTCGTTGACGGCGACGGCGCCGCCTTTCTGGTTGATCTCTCGCGCCACATCAGCCTCGGACTTCTCTTTCGATGTATCGTCTTCTTCTTGTACCGTCGGACCGGCCTTGGCCTTGTCCTCGGCTGCTTTCACAACCTCAGCATGCCTCTCTTCGCCCTTGTTCAAGAGATTCTTGTAAAAAGCACTCATTCCGCCCGTCTTGTTCTTCTTGGCCTCCTCTTCCTCCCGCTTCCTCTCCTCCTCCTCGATCCGCCGGTTCTCCTCCTGCTGCTTCTTGTACGCCTCCGTGACAAACTTTTCCTTATCCGCATACTCTTCGCCCTCGGCCTCCCGCTCCCTTGCGATCTTCTTCTCCTCCGCAATCAGCGCGTCCCGTTTCCGCACGTCGGCCGCTGCGAGCAGGCTCTTCATGTACTTGGGCTTCCTCTCCACGTCCTCCTTGGTCGTCTTCTTCTGCGGCTTGAACGATTCGTACACGCCGTCGTAGTCGTACACGCTCGGGTCGAGCTCCTCCGCCGCCTCGGCGTGCTTCTTGGACGTGAGCGAGCCCGAGAGGTCACCGAACATGGCGCTCTCCTGCTTCTTGGCTCGGCTCGCGGGCGGTTGTGTCGGCAGCGCATTTTTGCTCTTGAGCTTGCTCTTCCTCCCTCCGCTGTCTTGTCTGCTGGAAGAGGAGTCGACTTCGAAACCGCCTAGCTCGTCCAGCGACTCGATCTTGGTTCCCGAGTTGGGCGCATCGTTGTCGGAGTCATCGTCGCCGCCGCCAAACGCTGTGGCGCCGAATGGCTTCCGTTTTCCGGGCGCAGGTTTGGATGCGCCGGGCTTTTTGCCTAGGTTCAGGCCGAATGACAGGCCTGATTTGCTCATTGTGTAATGTGGTGATGTTGGGTTGAAGAATAAAGCCAAGGCCAAAGATGCGTCGCGCAGTTCATGGCAGATTGTGCACGGTCCACCGGGACATCCACTAATGCGAGCAGTTGCTGCACCCTGGCCTCCTGCCGAAGCCGCAGTGGGGCCGGCTGCCCCGGGTAGCTCAAATCAGTTAACAACACGGCCAAGGTCAGCTACGCTATCATATCCTCCGTCCAGTTTTTAGTCTTGATTCCGGACTGTTCATTAAAAGCCATATAACATGTTTGACTATTACTTTGATTTCGTGTGGGGAATCTATGGAACGTAATTCTATCTCATAAACAGGTGCTGGGTCTCGCACCGCTATTAAACCATTCTATTTACCCCTGCCAATTTGGTGCGTTTGGTTACAGCTACGTCCCAAAGCCCCAGGCGCGGGAATATGAAGCCAAAACTCCTAACGATGCGTTCTCCCCAGCTCTTGGTAGAGACTCCAAATGTCGTGCAACGTGGTGATACTCAAAAGCAACAAAGGGAAAAAGAGAATTCACAGCCGGACTCGTCCTTCGCTACTACCGCCACCACCGAACCAGCGTCGAATGTCAGACTCGACCCCGCCGCCGTTACCACTGCCGCTACCGTTTCCTGGCTCGTCATCATCGCCACCCATCCACTTGGGTTTCTTGATGTCTTGGAACCACTGTGGGGGCTCAAAGGTGTCCATCGTGTTTTTCATCCGATGACCCAGAGACTCAAAAAAGTTCTGGTCTTCCTCCGGCTCATCACGGTACGGCCTGTTTCGGGACGATTGGCCTGGTTGGCGGTTAGTAGTGGCCCGCACAGGAGACCTCGCTGGAGATGATGCGAGGCCGTTGCGTCCGCCAGGAATCGTCAGGACAGGAGCGGATCTTCCGCCCGACTCTAGCCTAGCGAAAGCCTCTTCACGACGACGCAAGGCAGAGTTGCCGCCCAGCTCGCGCTCAATGAGATCGCGACCTTCCCTCCATGACCCTGTGCCAAACACCCGTCCATCGCCGTTCTCGTCATCATCATCGATGAATTCGCCACCGAAGCCAAACATGCGCTTGACCTTCCCGTACAAGCCAAATAGAGTGGCCGCCACTGGGAGCAATACAAAAACGGGAAAAAGGTAGTCTGCCCAGCGGCCTAGCGGGGTAAAGTTGACCAGCGTTCCGAGGAAGCCATAGAATCGTGTCTTCTTGTAGATCTCGCCAGACAGGAAAGTCATGAAGTTGTATGACAGAGGAACGCTGAGCTTCGCAACTTGTCCAGAGTACCAAAATGCCGATTCGTATGCCGTATTGCGCTTCACGAGTGCACGCCCGCGCCAAGTCTTTACCTCCGTCATAGTGATAAAGGTGGCCGCACACATGTAGAGTAGCCAGAGAACCGAGATAAGTTGACCAGCGAAACCAACTTGGCCCTTCTCTCCGACCCAGTGATGGACAACGGTTAGACGGATGACGGACAGCTGAGGGAAGGCGGCTTTGACCAATTCAGACCAGATGATCAGAACGGAAGCGGCTGCCAGAAACACGCCCAGGGCAATGCAGGCATAAGGCTCAAAATGGTAATAGTAAATGTACCTGGAGTACGGCGTGTGGACGGTGAATCGATCCCAGAACCCAGCGTGGGGTGAAGGGGCGGCAAACGTCAGCTTCTTGGAGGCGGCGGAGTCGAGAATTGCTTGCGTGTCAGAGGCATCCTTCAACAAATCGTTCCACTCGTTCACGTAACGGGACCGCGTGTGCCGAGCTCGCATCAGCTTCCGAGACAAGTCCGCCATGAACTTCTCTGTGATAACGGTTGGCAGAGCGCGCGTGTCGCCAACGACGGTGCGCGGCTGGGATTCGGGCATATTGGCGCTTTCAACGAGCTCGTCGATCCACTCGCTGAATTTGACTGCGCTGCCGGTCTTCCGACGGCCGAGCTCCGATACTTGCAATTCGACATCCTCCAGGTTCAGCAGGGAATCCTCCATCTTTTCGTATAGTTTCGGTGCACGGATTTGAAGTCGACGCAGTCTTCCGCTAATAGATGCGTACCGAAGTAGTCGCCGGGGCACAGAGACCAAGCCGTGTCCCATGAGGTATATCGCGAAAACCAAGCCGTAGAAATATGCGAGTGCCATGAAGGAGGCTTTGAACTCGAAGGCGCCGACGCCATATCTGGCGAAAAGGTATGTGAGGCCGATAGCAGCAGATCCGAACACCATCGCATGGTATTGCGCATTTTGACGGAGTGAGTACTTGAGACTGTCTTGCGGTTCGCGGTAGCCGGAATCGGAGTATTCGCCAAGGATGGGGAGGATGAACCTGCAACGAATGTTTAGCAATATGGCCCAGGGGAACAACTACAGCCATCCACGCACCATGTCAAGGCGAAAGTGAGCCAGTAAGTAATCCTCCACGACACAAGTAACAATCTCTGGGGGAGCCAGATACCGCGCGTGGCCTCATCGTCGGTCCTAGCGCTTGAAGCCAAATCGATCGGTACAAGCAGTACCATGCACGCGGGCAGCCATAATGCGAAGAAGATTGGAACCAGGTAGAAGGCGGGAGTCGTTCGCAAGGGTAGGAAATGGCGCAGAATCAATAGGACGATGACGGAAATAACGAGGAGCGCAAGGAGCGCAAAGATTTCCGATGGCACCGGCGACGAGGCGCTCACGACGTGGAACATTGTGTCGTGGTCGAGACAGCGTCCATGAGGCGCTGCGTTTCCAACTTGTATCGGTCTTTCGAAGGTTGTCGTCGCAGATGTTGTATTCCTTCCGTTGTGCTAGGAAAGAAGAAAAGAATTTCGTCGGGTGGAAAGGCTTCGTAATGCGCGCCGGAAGACTCTCCAAGAAAGCGCATGCGCACCCTCTGCGGAAAGGAATGTTTTGACACAGGGGATCGGACTACAATCTACGAGGACCAGGTCATGTGCACGGACCCGGGGTGTTGGAAGGTCCGCAAACGAGCGGGTTTACGTCATCTGCACTGCACTCGCAGGTGTCCACCTTGTGTTCTTCGCTCCAGTTTAATGAATGAAGACCTTCCGGGTCCCAGTCTTCGCTCCCGGCAGATCCGCTTTTCCTCCTGAAGCGGCCGTTCTGGGCGCGGGATTGTACTTCGGATCAAGCTCCCTTCCCTGCTATCGAAAGGGGAGAGTATTCTTAGAAGCCACTATTTGAAGATCTGTGTTTTCGTTGGTTTCGTTCAATGTGTCTTTCAACATCGAGTGCAAACTTTGAGGTGTTGATGGCTTCTCTATAATGCTGCCTCCCTCTTGGCATCGAAAACTATGATTATGCCGCTCGACAGACTAATCCCAGAAACTCTTCGGGATTGTAAGGTAGTTGATGTCTCAAAGACAGTGAACATTCTCAGTGCTACTTCGCTTCTTGGAGGCAAGCTGCTTCAAAACCGAATTGCTCTACTATATCCAACAAATACATCCCGATAGTAAATTGAACGAGGTAAACCAACATTGAGTTGCGATAATTGCTTTCGTTATCAGTTTCGGCAATTGTCCACCACGACAGCCAGATTCAAAACAATACGAGCTCCCTTGGTTTTAAGAACACGAACAAGAAGCAAAACTTTGAGGACGGCATGTTGTTAAAATTCAGCTTCAACTTACGCAAGTACGGCCTATTCGTAAGTATCGTTCTTAGTTCCCCATTTTCAGTCAAACAACCTACTCCAACATACGTAGGATATCTGGTTGATAAGTATGGCAGTATTTGAGACTTGCCAGGGTTCCGCTCTCATTTACCATCAACCCAACAGAGTCGACAGTAAGAGACCAACATCTGTTTCCACGTACACCTGTGCGAAGCAGTAAAGGCGCGGTGTAAGGCGGCGTCAAGTATCTCAGCACGCCTAGGTACCACACAAAAGATGCTTGAATCGCCACAATACACTCATCTTGTTGGAAGTCACTGTCCCGTCGTCAACCCGCCTGATAGAAACTCACACCAAACACAACAAGTCCTCGACAGACTACGAGAGTCACCACAAACCCCTTGAAGTCAACTCACTTTACACGAACAATCACGTCCAAAACCCTCCAGCAAAAAGTGTAAACAACTAAACTTGCATTTGAATTCCAGTCGTTTCCCCCGGTTGCCTCCCTAATCCAGGATATTCACAATAACAATACATGCGTAAAGAGTAAGTTTCTTCGTGCGCTCGTACTCTCTTACTTCGACTCCCTTCCGCCTCGGACGCTCCCTCCTCCGTTGCCGTCTAGACACCAATTCCTTCTTCTGCTCCTTTTCGCGACTCCCCCCGACTCCCAACCGAGGCGTACTGAGAAACTTGTAGTCAAATCCCGATGCCTTATCCCCCAGCCGTTATCCAGATGGAAAAAAGCCCAAACCCGACCCGTTGTGCCGCCGCCGCCGTCCTAGCTTACGGGATGTGATGCTGGAACCAAAGAGGGAAACCCCTTCCCCCAATCCCAACTCCAGAACGCAATCACCGCATAAACAGACCGGAGAAGGAAGAAAATAAAACATTGAAATAGAATAAATCTTTTTTGTCGTGAAGAACGAGCTTTTCACTCCCAGCGACTATGAGCTTTTCCACTGAAAGAATAAGGCAGAGGGATGCAGGGAAGCGAACTCTTCCACGCTTCCAAATGTACAGACAAAGTATGCAAAACCAAAAGCCAGCGTCGGCATCAGACCCCCTCGGGAAGCAAGTCACCATGGCCAGCCCGCCCAAAAGAAGTCCAACGTCCGCCATATGACTTCTTTGCCCATGCAACCCCAGTCAGGAGTCGTAGAGAAGTGGAAGCTTATCTGGCACCCCCAAAGGCAAAGTTGCCAAAGACCCCGCCTCCCCCACCTGGGGTCATTGGTCCCATGGAGATGCCATTGGTGTTGTGTGCTTGCGCGGCAGGCGTGCTCGCGAGACCGACACTGCCGGTATTGGGCGTGCTCGGCCCTCCATTGTGCTGACCATTGGGGCCCTGATTTTGCGCCGAATCTTGGTTGCCACCGTTGTTACCGAACGGCAATCTCTCCAACACCAGAAGCTCCGGGATACCCAAACCCCAGACCTTGCCCACATGCTCTTCCGGAATCTCTCCATTAAAGATCTTATCGCGCATCTGGAAGAAGACCTTGCCCGTGAGCAGAGAGTCTGAGCCGGCCTGGTGCGCATTGCCCACGCGCTTGATCTTGAGAGAGTCGGCGATATTCTCGAGGCCAGACTTGTGCTCAAACTTCTGGAGGATATCGGCGCTGCTAGGATCGCTGGGGGTAAGGAGTCCAGAGTTGTGGAGTCGAATGGCGTGCTTCATCAGGTGCTTGACGTCGTAAGCCGACGGGAAGTACAGCTTCATGACTTGGTCAAAGTCCGATTCGTCGTTGGGGAGGTCGTTGCAGGTCAGCAGCTTGGTAAGATAGCCAAAGTCGTAGCCTCCGTGGAAGGAGATCCACTTCACGTTGTCGAAGCATACCAGACCGGATGGGATGAGAAGGGAAGCGAATTCGTGAGGGTCGATGCCGTCTCTCTCGAGGGACGCAAAGTCAATTCCGGCACTCGATAATGATTCGATCGACTTCTCGTTGTACATGTCGTCCTTGACGGAGAACTTGAAGTTGAACTGCCATGCGTACGGGAACGGCCCTTGCGATGCCGCTCTCCGTTGAGCAGCACTCAGCTCAATGTCTTGCTGCGAGTTTGGTCTTGCTGGCGGCGTCTCGCCATCCTCGTTGAAGAGCGTCAGTCCGATCTGAATGACCTTGAGCATGTCGACGTTGGTGCGCAGACATTGGTAGTGGTAGTCACTCTTTCCTCTGAAAGAGCCCATTGGCCGTGACACGACGCCTGGGAATTCCGTGTCCTGTGATGTGTCCTGTCAGCCTCGATCCGTCATCTAGAATACCTAGCATATCTGCTAACCATAGCAATGTACGGGTACTTGTCGACGAGCTCCCGTAGTACCGCCATCTCCTCGTGAAGGTTGTGTTTCCACACCTCCCTTATTCTACCCTTGTTCTGCGTCGTCCGCGCCGGCGCCGCGCCATGATCGAGCCCAAAGTTATGTTGCTGCTGCCCGTGCTGCTGCTGTTGCTGCAAGCTGGCCGCGTGCGCAAAACCCATCCGCGCTGCATGGCTTCCGAGACCGGTGTCGGCGCCGAGGGGGAAGCCGCCGTTCAGACCGGGGGTACCGCCGAGGACGTTTCCATTCGAAGAGAAGGCGTTCATCTGAGCGGCGCTGTTGATGTAGGAAGGGTTTGCTCCTAGAGGGGGTCCATGATTCGGGCCGTGGCCTTGGGCGTGGGAGGGGAACTGTTGGTGGTATGGCGATATGGTGTTGGGCCCGCCAGGGAACCTAGGTAGCTGTGGCGGCATAACAGACTATGCCTCTCGGGAGGTTCGTACACAAAAATCGGAAGTTCGCCGTGTCGTCGGGCAAGGTCGCGTTGGGTTCTGAGGGGTTGTGGACGGTCCACGGCCCTGCATTTGCGTCTGAAAGTGCGAGTGAGGGACGAGGTGGTTGGCAGTACAGAAGCACCTTTGTTCTTCCCCGCTGATGGTCGGATTGGCTCGTTTGGAATGTACGAGAAGGGCGATAGTTTCGAGAGGGGATAAGTCGTCGCGTCGAGGGTGCTTGCTGAGTGATGCTGATCGTCGTTCTGGGTTCGTGCGGAGCTAAAGCGCTGGGGAGAACGTCTGGTTATCTCGGATTTGGACAGAATGTGTGGATGAGGCCTGAAGGCTTGCTCTGGTTGACCGACCGTGGAGGACGAGGGGTGGTCTGTGCGAGACCAGAGCCGGCCAGGTACGTACCACGGTACTTTCCGCCGACAACATCTCAAAGATCTCCAATCAGCTTCGCCCCAACTCGACTGACCACCACCAAAGAGTCCATTGTTGTACGGCAAGACGACATTCACACAGCAATTATGCAGCCAACGAGGTAATTGCTCTCAAGGGCGCTCAATTGATACAATGATATGGAGAGAAGTCGGCTGACGCCCATCGGACACCAGGTTAGCGATGGCGGCCACCCGCGGCCAGAAGCCCAACATCACCGGCTTCGACATGAGAGCCTTCAAGGAGGCGGCCGGCCAGCCCAGATACGACCCTTGGGAGAGAGCGTGAGTGGCACTTGAGCACGAAGTATCTGACGAACACCGCGACATCCGCTGACAATGGAGACTACAGAGAGTCCTGGAGATACAAGGGCCCCTTCACGCGATTCAACCGGTTCAAGGGATCCTTCCCCGGCCTCGGCATCGCGACCGTCGCCTTTGCCGGCTACTGCGCCTACGAGTACTTCTTCTTGACCGACGACCACCACCACGGCGACGCCCACGGAAAGGACCACCTCTAGAGGGTCGAACGGATTGGTTGTGGGGGAGACGGAGAAGGGGAATACTCCGCTGTACATGTACCTCTCGAACCGGCAGACCGGCTCGCTGGAAGGATTTAGATGAGGACGAATTTGGTTTTTTTGCTATCAAGACATCCTATGACTCTTGAAAGTGCTGTGAACAGCAGCCTGGCTTTAATGCCGGAGGCTTCCTGTGAATATGTCCGCAGAGCGTTACCTGAAGTCCAGCCGTCAGGTCGACGAGAAAGTGAAAGCGACCCGGGTAGACGGAGAAGCTGGACGGGTGCCTTAAAGCGGGCTGCCATCCGCTTCCATCTGACAAGAAACGTAGCGCAGTGAATTCTTATCAAAAGTCTCTCGGCAACTATCTTGTGAGTCGACAGCCGGATCCTACTAGCCATAGACAGGGAACAGCATTACGCATCAGAGTCCTGATCGTAGGATATCCTGAATAGACTGAACAGTAAACCATGATCGAAGGAGACCAGATAAGCAGAGTCAGTCTGACTCTTGAAGAAGTAGGCTGTCTGCAAAAAATACGAAGCAATCCAATATATACAAAAAATAAGAAATAAGCTACTAGCCTATGAAGCTCAACCATAAGCCTTGAACACATGCTTGACTTGTATTCTCCCAGTGAACCACGACACGCCACCACAGCAGAATTCAGAAAAACAATGGAAACACCACTATGCCCTCCCAAGGCCACCTCGTCGTGGCACAGACACCCGTTTCAACCCATCATCCCATAATTCTCACCTCCCTCTCTCTCTCGCCCGTCCAAGCTTCCTTGGCCTTCTCCCTCTTCAACGTCAGCTTCCCAATCTGAGATTAGGTGCTTACATTCTGTTCCGTCTCGACACAACCCTATTACTCCCACAGATTCGGCCTTACTTGAAAACGTCACTACAGGATGCGTGGAGGTCACAAGGAAGAAGTAACGCAGTAGCCAGACAGATTTCTTTGCCAGACAGATTTCTTTCATTCTCTACCAAATCATCTACCAGTGACGAGGTATATGCTCCCATGTCCGCTCTCAAAGATTTCAACAATGCCAGCTTATTGGTATCGGTTTGTCCCATCATGTCCGAAGAAACTCCTAACTCGGGAAAAAATGAAAAGAACCTCAGGAAACGCCTGTCATGCCGCGGAGGATAGCTCGCGCGGTTGGGGGTATGCAGATCACACATGACGACACAGTCAGTCAAGTCTAAGCCCGTTGACGACGTCCAAAGCACTGTCGACACACGACTCCAGCTCCTCAACACGATGCTTCAATCCACGGTTCTCGTCTTTCAGTAGACTGACCGTATCCCACGCGGCCCGCTGGTCCTGCCCGCGGCAGTTCGAACACGATGCCGCGCCTCCCTCCTCTTTCGCAGTATCGCCTGTAACCCCTCTCATAAGTTTCTGGAAGACGCTCGCCTGCTGTGGTGACGGTTTCGATGTCGGCGGCGGTCGTGAGGTTCTCGGAGGGCCGAGTGAATTGGACTTTGATGGGGTTGCTGATGCCTCCGATATGCTGCCCTCGAACACGCTGGGTGCGGCGGTGGTAGGACTTCGTGACCTCGAGAAAACGCTGGCGTCCTCGACGCTCTCCTCATCTGTGTCAAATCCCGCGCTCTTTCTCCACTTCCTCCTGGCCTGATCCTCTTCGGCGCCGAGATCTTCGGATATTGATGACCCCTCGGAAATGGGACGATTCCTTTCACGCATCGCCCGCTCCTCTTGCCTGGCCTTCTTCTCCGCGTTTAGTTCAGTCATAAGCTGTTGCATCGACTGTTCCTGCTCGGCCACCTTGCTTGCCATATTTTCTAGCTGGACCTTAAGGTGTTGGATCCGTGTGTCCGCCTCATCGTTTTCCTCGTTTTGAGCGTCCTTTTCGACTCGTAGTTCTATCAAGGCGGCATTTTGTCTTTGATAGGCGGTTTGGAACTTTGTTAATAGACCAACGGCTGTAGCCTCTAGGTTTTTGAAGGCTGCAGGCGAGAAAGCGTCTCTGTGAGTCGGAGATGTAGGAGGGAAGAGCGCTTCCTGGATGTTCATAGATAATAACTCTTCATCCTGCTGTGGGCTGACTTGTGTCGGGGTGTTCTTGGAGAAGGGCGAGCTGAAGAAGGCGAACCGTGATGTACTTGGCGAAACTCCTTTGGGTGTTGTCTCCGTTGAACCGGTTTGTCTTCTGCGTAGCCTGTTTGTAGGCGTCCCCTCTATCGTATCGTCGTTCGTCTTGGCTTCCTCTGTATTGTTGGGAGATCCACCTAGCCAGCCGCTCAGTATGCCTCCTCGAGTGGCATCTGAAGGCTTCCTGCTGTCTCCCGTGAGAGGCATATTGACCGACAAGGGGCGGCCAGACCCTCGCTCAAGGGATGACGAGAAGGTGACTTGTGGGACGGATTTGCTGGTAGAAGGGAAGTTTGGAACTGAGTGCTGTCTCTGGTGACCAGAGTGTAGTCGAGGAAAGCTTCGATCGGCTCCAGACGAGCTAATGCGACACGGCTCGGGCTGGACAGGCGGGTTGGTGTTTAAGGCAGCACCGGGGGTAGCGCTTGGGGAAGCAGGATCGTCTTCTGGATCAACGCTCTCAGGCCCATGTGCACGGCGTAGAGTTTGAGTCTTGTCCATTCCAGAGGACTTGGTTGGGCGTGGGAAAGACATCGGGGAGTCGGGTGTGGAGGCGGCGGCGTGACGGCTTAGCATGATAAGTTAATGTTTCGTGTGGGACGGGCAATATGTGTCTCCCAGCTTGAGTCTAGCTGTACGGCCGGGGGTATCGCGGGCTTGGGTTGGCAGCCAGACCAGGAACGTAAATGGATCGACTCGGGCCACAAACAACGGAAGGGGAGGGGCGGACGTCGCGAGCTAGGAGCAACCTAGAGTTAAGACGGACTTCTTCGAGGGAAGAGCGTTGGAACTTTAGGGCGGTCGGCTGGTGGTGGTCGCCCGCTCGGTAGGGATGGATCGAGCTGGAACAAAGGGGAGTGCGAGTCTGCGAGACTTTTTGGCGTGATGAGATGCCAGGTCCCCCTGCAAGCGAGAATGAAGAGCGTCGGTCGGACTAGGGAAAGTTGACAGGCGACGGACGGTCAAGCACAACTCGCATGAACCTCTTGTTGGAATCGATGAAGACGGCCCTTGGGTGCCCGGTCCTTGCAGACTTGCAGTATAGTGAGGTCGCACAGGGATGGTCGCACAGAAAGTAAAGGTGCGCAACCAGCCGCAGATCGTGAATAAAGTGACGAGAGCGTTCGGCTTGGAAGGCGTCGGCGGCGCGGGATGCTGTAAGCCGTCGAAGCTGTCAAAGTCGCAGGTGAGAGTACACGACTGCGCTTGTGGCTGAGAGGCTAGTCGCGATTATCCCGATCCAAGGCTTTATAATACCTATTGATATTCGGACTGCGTCCTCCAATGTTGTGACTATGCAAAAGTGTCGGGGTCGCTCTGTACGAAGTATAGTACAGGCATAAAAAAGCGGAGATATTAGGGTGCCCGGTCCAGTGATGGATACCGGTCAAGGGAAATGTGATAGTAAGAGTGGATGGACGAGCCTCCGAGTCAGCATGGGCGTACAGATAGGTAAACGTCGTTTCGTTTCGATTTGTGCGTGAGTATCCGTAGTTGGGTAAGGTACTCCGTAGGGATGGATATCAGACAGCAAGTGTCCGTCAGCGTTGATGCAAGCGTGCGAGGGAGACAAAGAGTGCGGCCCAAGAGTCGTGAAGCTGCATATAGCCGGTACAATGTATCGGTGGTATGTGCAGATGTCGAAGAAACGGGGAAGACCCCAGGTTTGACGCAGACACAGAGAAAAAAGGTGTGTCTGTTCCCACGAGGCCGGCGCTGCAGGGGGCGCCGACGTTATGACGGCGAGTGACGGAGAAGGAAAAAAGCAAATAGCCTTGATTTTCTCCTTTCGATAGGCAAAGGACTGAGGAAAGAGAATGGAAGGTTTAGGTCGACAGCCACCAAGACGAAGGAGAGAAAACAAAAAGAACGCCGGGAGGTCCCTGATAAACAAACCGTAGGACCCGGGCAGGAGGCGACGACGCGGGCGACGTCAACATCCAGCAATTGGCGGTGGTTGGGCGGTCTCCATCCTGTCTCCAGCAACTTGGCCGTGGAACCCGTCGACCCGATCACCATTTGGGCAGTGAAAAGCGGACCGGCAGCGAGGTACAGGCTGGCAGGTCCAGACTCTGTGGCTCTAAACAGTAAACCCAAGTGAGGCGGCCCTGCAATTGCCATCCAGTGCGTCGTCACTTGACCATGCTACCTTACCTTAGGTTGGTACGCAGTATGCCAACGGACAACACTCTCTCCTCGTTGCCTTCCGCCATTTCTCAAAGTGTCCAACGCACCGCCGATTCCCGAACGCTCTTCCCCAATTGATGGCCTTTTCCCTTCCTCTTCTCTCTTTTTTATGGAGCACGTACCGCACGTCCCCCCAAGTCCGTGCAATCAAAGGTACCTTTCTCTTGGACCCTGGAAATCGCATTGCAACTCGACATAAAAAACCACCAGATGATTCCTCACCACTTTGTCGTGACTCTGGCTTGTGCTTTCCAACCGTGCCCATGCCCGTGCCCCGAGAGGCTTGACATCTGAAAGTCCCGATGAGATGTAGACAGGCACAAATACTTAACTCGCTCAAAGTGACCTACCCACTGGTGTATCTACACAATAGAGGCATTCCATTCCCCGCCTAGGAATAGCAGTCGGCTGCCTTCATCTACCGGAAGATCGGCGTCTAGAGTCCGTCCTCGCAGATCTTCGACACCAACCTGGAATGCAACCCCCAAACTAGCGAAACGTCCAATCGTCCCGAGCTCCCGAATTCCAACGTTGGAACAAATACCAAACATGGTAAATCGCTAATTCTGTACGGAGTAGGGCACACGTTTTACTATGAACACTAATATCCAAAGGGGTCAAAGTAGGCGACTCAACCTTACTTACATAGAATCCTACGAGAATAAGGTACCTCAGAAGGAAGAAGAAAACATCGACGGCTCAAGCCCGCCCTTCCTTCTCCATCCCGCCACGCTCAGGCATGCATATAGAAAAGAACCACCACCACATTCCACATCCCAAATAAAAAAGACGCCTCAACCGCCACGGTCCATAACATCACGCGCTTGCCATGCTCCCTTGCTAACCTAGGCAGTACCGGCGCAGTCTAAATTTTGCGCCCCTCGTGGAAATTCCTTGTCTCGTCTAAATATACAAAGAAAAGCACATCAAGCGTCCAACACCGTCGGAACATCCTAAAAGGTCAACGAAACAGCACAAGACTTGCATTAGAAGAGACCTCTCTTTTTCCCCATGCCACCATTCCCTTGCACCCGGTGGCTGGGCCGCCCTGTAGATATTCACTTTCCCCCCAGAATTGAGGCTAGACCTCCTCTGGAAAAGAGACTGCCGCGCATATCTAGGTACACTTCTCCCTCCCGTACTGATTCAAAAGACAAACCCTCCCTCTCCCTCTCGGCCCTCCGCACGTACCGTTCTCCTACTCAGCCGAACAATGCTTGTACTTTCCAGATTGGGAAGAGATGCTTTGGCGACAGGAGGCTGGAACTTTACCGGAGAGGTCGAAAGGGGCTCTACGGAACTTGATAGGCTACTCGTCAAAAGGGTGTTGATTCGGTCAACTTCGGTCAGAAAGGCAAATAAAACCCACGGACTGCGATGTAATTCGCTCTTTTCCCGTCAATGACCGTCATGACTTAGGACCTGCTCGGCAAGTACTACGTACGCGGAATCGCATTCGCTGTTTGGGGTTCTTCAACCTTGTATAGCAAAGTTCATCGTCAGCTTTATTTTCCTCTCTAGGGGATAGATCTCATCTGAGCTACATCGAAGCCTGTCTATTATATTGCCACGGCATTGATTGGTTCACACTTACAATCACAGCCTCGATGCATCGGGAAGCCAACTAGCACAATGAGATTGAACAAGATTGGGTTCCAAGTGCCCACGTGGGGCTTTTATTCATGCCGGCCATACAGATACATCTGTACTGTACTGAGTGAACCCAAACCCGGCTCACGAGAAGAGCCTACCAAACCATGCTCAACCCAATAAGTGGTATCCCAAACCAACGAAAAACCCGACCCAGAAAGTACTCCTGCAGCCAACCGCTCAACATGCAGCTCTCCCTTTTCCCCCCAAGGACCAATCCGTTCTTTAGTAGAAGGACTCGACCATGGTGTCCTTGAGCTTCGTGTTGACGTTGTCCGGGCCCAGGCCCTCGCCCAGTCTGAATACACTCTCGATAACACTGAGTTCCGTCGCCGTGGTGTCCAGACCGGTCACGGCCATCCAGTCGTTGACAACCATACCCGAACCGACAACGTTGCTACCACGGTTGACACTGCCGGCCACGAGGGGCACCTGCAGCAAACTCGACAGCTCGTCCTGGTCTTGAATCGACGTCTTGGGGTGCACGAGGCCGCCCTGGTTCGTGAGCGACATGTACGAGCCGACAAGCACATTGTCGGCAATGGTCTGGCGGAACACCTCGACGCCGAGGACGTCGGCGATAATCTCCTCCGTCTCGCGCTCCAGATCGGGGTGGATGAGGGCGATGTGGTCGTTGGCAACAATAACGTTGCCGAGGGCGGAAAGGCGCTCCTCTATTCTTTGGATGCGGACTTCATCTGGCAAGCTATTCCGGAGATGTTGGAGCTCCTGATCGGATGTTGTGTTGGGGACCAAAAGACCCTTGCGGTTCCTAGAAGCCGGAGCCAGTCAGCAAAACTTGAAGCTCACACGGGTTGTGAGGCCGTATGCCCGAACACACGAACCCTCCCGAAGGATCCATCGCTTGTTGCTTACCCAGCTGTTAACCGGCCGATGATGCGGACACCGGCGATGCTTGCCCTGCAGATGGGGATGACACCCTGCAACTCGGCCTCGAATACACTGTAGAAGTTCTCGCTGGCACCCGGGGCGACGAGGGCGTAAGAGTTGGTGAGAGTTGCAAAGCAACCAATTCTAAAAAAGAGAAAAAAGATCTCGCGTCAGCATGTCTGCTTCTACGGTAAAGAGCATCGCGGAGGGTGCGGGTTGTTGGAGCAAAGGCGTGCAGCATAATGGCGGGGTCGATCCGGCGGGGTTCTCTTACTCGTTGGAATTCTCGAATTGCGCGCGCACCGCCATGATTGTGGTTGTTTCGGGGGATACTCGATTACTGATTGTTGAGGGGGTTTGAAGATGATGAGACTTTTACGGCTATAGAGACTCGTAAAAGATACTTCGTTCGTGAGAAGAGGAAAATAAAAACCCTTGGCGCGGTCGTGTGGAAAAATTGTCGGTCGTCAAGGATCTTGTCGTGAGGGTGGTGTTGATGATGGAATTTTTGCAGTGGCGGAAGTCGCAATTAATAAAAAGCGACAATCGATAGAGAGCAAGGTGGGGCAATTACCTTAGCTGCTCTGGTCGACCACGGCTGCCAGCCCAGCGCCAGTTCTTCACCACACTCAATGGGCTCTGCCTTCTCCGTTCTGGGCTTTCAGGTTTGCTTTCCATTGAGGGGAGGGGCGCCGGGCAGTGCGGGGCACACCGAGCGAGCTGTGTGGACCCTGATTCGCCTCAAACCGCCCGGGCTGCACAAAAAGAGTCAATTGTCGCTATATGGCTGATGAGTCACTCCGCATCAGAACCACACTACCTCACTTATCCCCGGTTCCTATTACAAACCAAGCCAAAACCTGCCCTTTCAAGGTCCCTTTCCGCCGCGGCTGCATTGCCACTGTGACTCTTCGTCCTCATCCTGCAATCTTGCATTCTAGAGCCGAAATAGTCTCTGCATAGGCTGACAGAGCCAGCCATTGGACAGTTGATTTCCTGCAGCAGCGATATACCACTGATGAATAGCATTTGTTTCATCCCTCACCGTTTGAATCACCTCATCAGTCACAGTCATAGCATTCATCAATGTATTGTGTTACTATTATGCTAGGCGGGCTTTTTGAGCTTGCTGTCCGCCACTCTCCTTCAATTGACCCCCTTGACTCCCTCCTTACGTCTTCTTGTACTGGGCCAAAAACTCGTCTAAATCAACATGTATCCGTAATCCCTTGGATGACATCGTGTTGAAAACGGACCGCAGCTCAAACTCGTCCATCACACTAACAAGTGTCGTGTAGGCTTCGAGTGCCAGCTCCTTTGACCACGGACAATGGCGAAGACCCCGGAAAAACACATCCTTTGCCTTGGATCTAAGCTGTTGCCTCGCGTAGCTGAATTTGATGTAGCATCGCCATAGATCGGGATTGGACCTGCATGTCGGGCTGTCTAGTGCCCGCTCAAAGGCTGATTGTGTGGAGTACACGTTGCCCCTCTGCAGCTCATATCGAATCGCAAAGACACGGTTGCTGATGCTATCATTGGCGTTCGTGAGAGCGACTTTTCGGAGGATGTCACGAACAGGGTCGTCAATGCCGAACGTGGTGGACGCCCACGAGAACAGGCTCAAGAAGATTGTGTTGCGTGGAAACAACTCAATGCACTGACTGAGCTGATCTCGCAAATACGCACGTCGGAATGGTCTGCCTTGATGTTAGCCTCGAGACATTTGGAGGAATTGGGACATGCTTACCCTCGGCTTGCATGGTGGTAAAGAAGCCTCGCAGCAACTTGAAGAAGTCTCTCATGCGCCGACGACTTGGTCTGACCTTGAGCACAGAGCTCTGAAGATGCGGTCCAGATTCTCTCCATTGCAGCCGAGATGCTTCCTTGCGCCTCTGATGCAGGCTCAGATCCTTCCTGGGCTGTGAGGTAGGCCAGCAATGCCAAGCTCTCCGCGGTAGCTATAGCTTCATCGAGCTGCTTCGTAGACATTTGATGCTCCAGAGTAGCCGATAATGATTGATGTACCTTGAGAAGTTGTGAAGGAGAGGGCGTGATTGAAAGGGCGTTTCTCCAGGACTCGTCTGTCGCAGCACAGATACGCACCAAAGCTTGAGCATTGTTCCCTCCGTGGAGTTCCAGCCAAGCCCAGGTATTCCATAATATTGATCCATTGGTGTTGCTGGAGGTCTAGTAGGTAATCATTAGAGCCTGGCCAATAAACCGTATATTGATGCAGTGTGAGCACTTACGGTGATCAAACCGGTCGCTGAGCCGACAACTTGGAGACCTATTTCCGCGTTGCCGTTGGAGAACTCGGCGAGAGCATAGGCATTGTATAGCCTGAGATTCGAGGGATCTTGTTTGATGAAAGCCTTTGCGCGTTTCTTGGTGTTGCTGGGATCATTGACAACTTCGATGGCCAGAGAGTACTCGGCCAGCTCCCGGTAGCTTCTCGACTTCAGCAGCAACCGAAGACTGCTGGAGACCGCAGCTATGGCGACGGGTCCGTCAGACTCTTTGGATGTACTGGTCCACCCTGAAAACGGCGAAAACCATGCGGGGCCAGCAAACAGCAAGTCAGCCGACAGTGCATATCGAGATGCATCTTGCTTGAAAACTGGAACCCGCTTGGTCTCGTCTAGGACGTCGGGCTCGTTGGGCCTCTGTAATACGTCCTTCTCAAATAGCCTCATATTGCTCATAATCACTGCGTCGTTCTCTGCGGCCTCCGTCCAGTCGCTGATCCGGAACGCACTGGGTAAACCGCAGAAGAGCAGGAAAGCGTCAACCAGAGGCTTCCAAAGTGAGGGTATAACCTCTGACGGTATCACAAATAGTAACTCCTCAATGTCAGAGAACATAACAACACGGTAAGGGTCATCCTCGAGGACATCGTCGGTGGCTCGTGCAGGGTTCCTTGAGTTCGTCGCTCGAAGCCTCTCCGTTGCACCCCAGGACTTGTACACGTCTCGCGATTTAGGGACAGTATCGTCGTCTGTCCGGGGTTCCGGAGGGTCGACAACGCCATCCATCTGGACGTAGTGGTTCCAGCCGAGAGCATTGTCTTCTCCTATTCTTGGCGACTCGTCTTCCCAGAAGTCTTTGAACGAACTGACTATTTGAAGTTCTGCCATGGTGTCGCAGACCGCTGGCCGTTGCAAGTTGAGTTCCAGGAGCGCTTGCCAAGCTGCGACTGCGAGCTCGCGGAAGCCAGCATCGTACATGAATCTGGTTGTTCTGAGAAATACATAGACCATCTGCTCGTAGCGCTGGGTCTCTGCGTTATTTGCCAGGCGGCTTGGCCCGGGCAACATTGACACCATGGCTTGCTTGTAGACGGTCTGTAATCGGTCGACCATCAGGGCTTTTATGTCGTTGTACTGGAATGCAACCAAATTCGCAAGTTTGTAGTCAATTCTAGCCTTCCACAGACAAAAGCTATCATCGTGCTTCTTTGCCAAATCCGCCCATCGGCTCTCGAGCTTTGAGGAAGACCAAACCTGTGCAGCTTCCAGCATCAAACCAAGAAGGAGCCGTTCTTCATCTTCGGGCTTCTTTGCGTGAGATAGGGCAGACTCGAACATTGATATCTTGATTTCTGCAAAGCTGTGAACCTCGGCTTTGGTGGCGTCTCGGTCCAGGCTCCCACCTGCATTCAGCAGCACGTCTTGATGATTGATGATTTCAAACCAGGCTTCAATGTCTCCAGGGTGCTCCTTGACCCGACGGGACAATTGAATCGACCGTTGCCTCAGGGGATCATCGGATCCAACGTCGAACTCGCCATCTTCGGCATCTGAATCGAAGTCGATATCGCTGTCGGAAAATTCATGAGCCTTGGCCTTGCCTTTGATTGACCTGTACGCCGTCTTCTCGTCTTCTGATGATCCCGGCGACTCGGCGCGCTGTCGCTTCGATGACTTGCTCAGTGGAACAAAGTCCTCCTCAACAAGATGTAAATCGTTGCCACTGGGACTGCTGCGTACGCGTATTCGAAACGGCTTTGCACGGTGAGTCTTGGATTGGAAAAGAGCTCGATCTCGCTGTGTCGAGGTTCCTTCTCCCGGTTGTCGAATACTGAAGCGCTCCTGCGGGCCGTCTCGATGAATGTATAGATAACCACCGGAGCCAAGGACTCGTCCACGGCCACTGCGGCGGTACAGGGGCACGCGAGAACGATCATTGCCGCCGTATCTCCTGATCAAGGGGTCGCCCTTTTTGTCAAAGAAGAAAAGACCATCGCCGGGCTTGTCTTTCAGAACGGGTGCCACCTCGACTCTCTTCACCAGAGCTCGTTCTTGGCTGGGACTGCGACTCCGACTTCGTTTGCGATGTTGCCGACGATGCTCGGATTCATGTTTCGAACGGTCATTGTGACGCCGAGACTCATGACGAGCTCGTTCTTCCTTGGACTTCTCTTCTCTATCTTTCTTCCGGTCGCGGGAGCGTTCACTTGAAGAAGGTGGTGCTGCAGCCGGGGCTTTGGGCTTGAACGACGAGAACTTCGGCACCGTCAACTTTCTATCCCCAGGCTCCGACATATCGACGACGCCGGTCCGCAGCTCACCAAATCATGATTGACACCGAGGGGAACTCGGCGCCGTGGCCGCTTGCTACTGTAAGCGGCTGACTGGGAGCACGCCCTAATGTCCAACTGCAACGTTGATGTGCGCGATGTGCTCTGATGGCTAATGGCTACGGTGATGAACTGAAACGTCGTCAAGGATACCGTGGCGTGTCGCGTTATTGGCTTGACGGTGGCGGAAACGGGCAATTGTCGGTACTGGAGTACGGAGTAGGAACGTGGGGGTTTGGTAGTGATCGACCTCACGCATAAGGTAGAAATTAGAATACAGAACACGACAACCTTAATCGAACGGTAGCAGCCACGCAGCGTTGCACCTCACCGTTAGAGAAACCTGGGCACGTGTGGTTTGGTTTACGGAGCTACGGCTGGTATTGAGCGCCTTCAACGGTACGGGAAACTGGGTACTGGCACTGTGGCATGTGATTGGCTTGCCCGTCTTATGTAAGTCACCTGGGGTTCACTCTGCCTCTGCGAGTGGAAGAACCATGAAAACAGGACCAGGCCCAGGATTTTGGTTCTAATGGGCCTCGGCTCTGTCTCTGAATCCAATTATTCGGAAACGAGGACTAAACGGATCGACCGGTCTGCTTGAAAATAGATGGCAGGCAGGAACGGCGATGGCGATGGCTTTGATAGCTTTGATGTCGTTGTTGATGAGGGTGTTATGTCTTAATCTGACTGACACTGGCTGACTGCTCTTGGGACTAGTATAGTGTCAGTCAACATGGGATCAACGCCAAAGCAATCGAAGCACCACGCCAAGTTGGAGGGTTGGATGGTTGGATGAAGTATGGGCAGAGTTCGGAACATTCCAGGATGGGTACGTGGAGAGCGACCCGTGACTGAAGACTTGAGGCGCTGGAACGGGACAAGGGTGGGATTCGGGATTGACAGTCGCTTGACTCACGCACCTTGCAGACGTGGGATTGGATACGGATTGCACTCGGAATGATGCCCTGAAGGAAGGCGGTATGGGAGATAAGTTGGCATCGGCGCACCGCACCTTGGTAAGCACGGTGAAATTCCTTGTACGCTACCTTAGATATGTGCTTTTTCGTGCCATCCAGCATGGAAAAAGGCGGTGGAGGAGAATCGGCAATTTTGGCAATGGAGGGACAACACGTACTCTGTACTTACGGAGTAGTGAAAAAGAATGAGGGACGGCCGCAATGGTGCAATCTCAGGGTCCTCGGTCGATCTGACCGTTTCGGCGGGAAATGCGCTAGGCGTCAGCCAATTACTGCGTCTAAATGTCTTACAGAAGCATCCACCCTAAGGGTCACCCGGTGCAAATGACCTCAGAGCCAAGAACGCCCTCCCACCGCTACGAATTATTTACACACTTCGCGGCACTGTCAAACTGTTCAGGGTGGATCACGCTCTTACAACTTACCGCGCGTGCCCCCGGCGCAAATACGGTGCACAGCCCAACCTGGCCAACCTTTGGTGTCCCTTGTGGCCCTTGGGGGGCATTCGGGAAAGTGGACGGGCGACAGCTCCATCTCGAGGCCTGCCGCATCTTCTAGCACCCGTCTGGGTATTTCGTCCTACGGAGTAGAACAACCAAACTATCGGGGCACCTTGCGGCTCTCTCTCCAGCTTCTTTTCAAGTAGATGGCTACGTTTCTTCTTTTCCCCTAAACATCCTCCTCCTCCTCCTCATTTCCCTTCTTTCTCGTCTTTCCCACCCTCCAGCGTTCTCCCCCGGCCCCGCCGTGTACACACCCGGCGACGCAGTATACACGCCAAGGAACATGTCTCGCCCGCGATAGTCATCCGCCTACACGTTTCGTCGCATCTGACACCGAACCCCACGTCGTGATCCTGTCTCCCGCCTCCCCGAACCTTACGCTTGCTGTGCTCAAGGTTGTCTGCAGCCTTGGAAGTTGGAACGCCTACCAAGTCCATTAGGTTCACGTGCTAAATCTTCAGCTTGCTTCAATCTAAAACCACACAGCTTGCTTGTCAGGACAGCCTTCCCTTCAAGGCTTCCGCAGCTACCCCTGATCATCGTTTTTCCAAAGCCTATAGTCTAGACTACTTGACTGCGTCGAATGCTATCCCATCTTCCTGAAAGCTGCAAGCTTCCGCTCTTTTGCCAACTAACAGCAACCTTGCCTGGACTGCCGCCAAAAGTTGCTGGTTGAGTCGAAACATCCAAGATTTGAAACAAACTCCAGAACTCAAACGGTTCGAGCCGTCTTCACACACACCTCTACTGCGTAGTCAGCCCAATTATGGCGGAATTACCAGACGACAACGCGCCTTCGGGCCCTCCCTCGCCGATGAGTACGCGACGACCGAGATTCGACTCTCGGAGAAGCTCGGTCGGAGGAGAGCCGGATGAGCGCTCTCCTCTACTTCTGGGTGGCGCAAGATCAAGAAGGCGTCTTCAACAATCCGGTCCGGAGAGCCCAAAGTATCTAACTCCGGGCCTGTCGAGAAATCATAGCACTGCCGGTATGTCGTCCCCATGTTTTCACATGCTGCGTCTGTATCAGGAAACCGAGAAACCAAAAAGGCTAACCTGTACCCTCACTATCCCAGGTAGCATCAGAAGTCTACACCACAGTCGCAACCCGTCCTTGGGCCAACGCCTCTCACATGCCTTCTCCGACTTTCCCGATCCGATGAGCGAGTCGAAACGATCAATACAACCCAACGAGCGCGTATGGTACGATCAGTTTACATCCACCGACTGGGTCCATGATAATATCATCGATGCCCACCGAGTCAAGGCTCTGAAGATGCGCAAGGACTTTCGGGGAAGGTTATATGCCATCTTCGACGCCTCACAAGGATGGATTCTCAGTGCGCTTTGCGGTTTCATCGTCGCGCTCGTTGCCTACGTGGTCAACTTATCGGAAGCGACTGTCTTCGATTACAAGTACGGATATTGTGCGCGGGGCTGGTACATTAGCGAGAGAGTATGTTTTACTGCAACCAAAGAGTGTCAGAAGACGCTAACGTTATGTACAGAACTGCTGTCCGAAGCAAGGCCCTTGCGAAGATTGGCGCACCTGGTCCGAGGTTCTGAGGTTTTGGCCATTTGGAGATGTAGGCACCGAATTCACCATCTACTTAGTTGGATGCGTTGTCTTGGCAGGCATCGCCTGTGCCATGACGTTAACCACAAAGACTGTGGTACCCTCGGCATATCGCATGACGACGTTCGACGAAAACCTTGCGGCAGAGCTTGCGCCGTACGCAGACGAACCCACCAGCGACGAAAGCCCGACTCCTCCAGAAGTCGTTGAGGCGATTGAGGCCGCTGTACCGCCCCCAATGGTGTACTACTCCGCTGCCGGAAGTGGAGTGGCCGAAGTGCGTGTTATTCTCAGTGGTTTCGTCTTGCACGGTTTCCTTGGTGTGAAAACCTTGGTTATCAAGTCTGCCGCGCTCATTCTCAGTGTGGCGTCTGGCCTCAGTCTCGGTAAAGAAGGCCCTTACGTGCATATTGCTACCTGCATTGGCAACATTGCTTGCCGTCTCTTCACGAAATATGACAAGAACGATGCCAAGAGGCGCGAGGTGCTGTCTGCAGCTGCAGCCGCGGGTGTGGCCGTCGCTTTTGGCGCTCCTCTAGGAGGTGTTCTCTTCGGTCTCGAGGAAGTCTCGTACTTCTTCCCAGCCAAGACGCTCTTCCGCACCTTTTTCTGCTGCATTGTGGCTGCACTGTCGCTCAAGTTCCTTAACCCCTACGGCACACATAAGATTGTAATGTTCCAAGTCAAGTATGTGGCAGATTGGCACTACTTTGAGATCGTCTTTTACATCGTCATCGGCATCCTCGGTGGTGCTGCCGGTGCTCTTTTCATCAAGGCTTCCAAGCACTGGGCCAAATCATTCAGAAGAATCACTTTCATTAAGACGTATCCGATGCTCGAGGTACTTCTGGTTGCTGTTGTTACCGGTATCATGAGTTATTGGAACGTCCACACAAAGCAGCCCGTTGCCAAACTGATGCTTAATCTTGCGGCCCCATGTCACGACGGCTCCGATCGCGAAGACTATGGCCTCTGTCCGACCGCTATGAACGAAATCCCGCCTGTGCTCCTCAGCCTCTTCACTGCATTCCTTATCAAGGGTTTCTTGACGATCATCACGTTTGGCATTGTAGGTATTTCCATTTCCCAACTTGATCACCGTTCTAATGCTCTTACAGAAAGTTCCCGCTGGTATCTACGTTCCGTCCATGGTGGTCGGTGGCCTCATGGGCAGACTTGTCGGCCATGTGGTGCAGTACATGGTTCTGCTTTGGCCCGACTTTGGGTTATGGGGGGCATGTGCCACGAAGGAGGCGGGATCCTGCATTCAGCCGGGAGTGTACGGTCTCATTGCCGCTGGATCAACCATGTGCGGTGTAACCCGCCTCTCCGTCACACTTGCAGTCATTCTCTTCGAGCTTACCGGCAGCTTGGATTATGTTCTGCCATTCTCTCTCGCCATCCTTGTGGCCAAGTGGACTGCGGACGCCATTGAGCCAAACAGCATCTACGTAGGTTACGAAAATGCGCTGAATGTGGGCGGCTACTGACTTTAACAGGATCTTCTCACAAGCATGAACTCGTACCCGTTCTTGGACAACAAGCACAAGCCCATTTTCACTTCGGATCTTGCCGACATCGTTCCTCGTGTCCGACGTGAACGCGTCATTGATATCAGTGCCTCTCCAGTGGTGTCTGCAGTCAGCCTTCGCAGCAAGTTGCAGACACTCCACAGAGCTGGAGAAATTGATGGAGGTCTGCCCATTATCCGGGATGGAATTCTTGTTGGCCTGATCCCTGCTCCGGACTTGGAATTTGCTCTCGATAACTTGGATGACGAGGCATCAAGCATGTGCTTGATGGCCCAAGTTGCAACCATTGAGGACTCTGATGATGATGACGGGGAGACGGACAAGACTGATTTTACCCCATACATCGACCCTGTAAGTGGCCATTCGACCTGGCGAGTGATATCGAGGCTAATTCTGGTCAACAGGCACCTGTGGCTTTGGACATGCGGTCCCCCATGGATCTTGTTTACGAATGTTTCGTCAAGCTCGGTCTGCGCTTCGTGTGTGTGCTGAAGAATGGACGTTACGCAGGAATGGTGCGTAATTTCTTGATGTTTTGACGAGGTCTTTTGGCTAACTCTATTTCAGGTACATAAGAAGAGCTTCGTGAGATACATGCGGGACCTTGAGGAGAAGGAGGGCCATTGATTCAGTGCCCATTTCTGGAGCAACAAACCAGAAGTTGGGCTCAAATCACCTTTGCATCATGTTTTTGCACTTTGCCAGCATTTTCACCTCCGACATGTTTGGATACATTGTCAGAGACGGAGGAAGTCTATTTTAGTTTTTGCATACCGCCCACGTTTCGATACTTGCGGCTTAGCGTATCTGGGCATGGCGTTCACACAATATTTCTCTTTAAGATACTGTCTCCTAGAGCATTTCTGGATGGTCGACTGTGCTCGAACCTGGATGTATAGCATTTTCTCTTTGGCTGGGAAAGAAGGACAGAATACTTGGGGATAGGCTAGATTGATTATTTTGCACATAAAGAGTGTCGTCGCAAAGAATGCACGAAGGTAATTAAAGCGGACAGAGTCCCATTTCCCAATCTTTCGAGACCGCTTTGAGTGAGGTTTTGGTGATGCGACTTAAGTGAACAGACGTTTCAGTCAACCGGCCAAACCCCTCCTCCGCAGGCCGGGCATTGACCATTCCCGTCATCGAAGATGACCTTCGGCATCCGGCGCGCATCTTCACGGCCGCCGAAGTGGAGTCATTCAACCGGCTTCGGCCTGACCTGGCCCAGCCCGGGCTTGTCGCCACCGGGCAGAACATTTGCATTAGAGCGGAAGGTTAATACTAGGCCTGTCTTATGCGCTTTATTCTGCACTTTGGTCAAGTAGGCAACACGCGCCGACGCCGCCGACGCCGAGCGGAGGGGCGAAATTCAATTTCTTAGTTTAGGTATGGCGCAAGAACCGGCAACGTTTGCCGGTTCCGGTTCTCCGGTCCCGTCATCGGCCGGTGGGCTTTTTGATTCGGCGAAGCGCTAAGGATAGTCCCCAGATGTTTGCCCCTGGTGGTGGAGATGTTCGTTTCCACCTTTGGGTGGGATTTATTCTTCATTCTTATCCAGGTATCTGTATCAATGGGGCTGGTGCTTATCGCCTGATCTTGTGGTTTGGCAATGCAACAAAGACGGCATAGAGGACCAACTTGGAGGCGATTGCGCGCAAAGCGAACCGATTGGGCGAAATCTGGGGTACGTTCACCGCGGTAGCGCGCTTCCTTTGCCCAGGAGGAGAAGATACCTACCTGCTGCACCCAAGCTCCAACAGAGTTTCGTCGTATCAGGATGAACATGGCCGAGCTTCCAGCTTCGTAACAAACGCGTGCCTACCTGTACCCACCGAATGTGTTGATTCCATAAAAAAGTGCAAGTCTGCCCGAGTGTGAAGTTTCTCGGATCTAAAGAGTGCCAGCCTGCCTAAAGTAATAGGTCTCTGCCTATTCACGCGGTTTACGCGAGCCGCTGCTGGCTTTGCCGCAGGTTATCTACGACGGGAGAAAGGTACTTGGGGGAAGCGAGAGAAGAGAAGGCGGTGGCGGCGTAAACGGCGTAAATTACCCCTCCAAACGAAGGCCCGTGTGTAAGGCAAGGTACCTCAGCAAGGCAGTGTGTCACTGCTATGTGTGTGTGAGGTCAGGCCCAAGGACCCCAGCTTTCAATCTGCCCCGCATTTCCCTCGACTGGCACGTAATCTTGGCAGGTCTCCCCGTCATCGCATTCGCTGGGAGTTGAGAGACCTTGCCGTGCTTGCATTAGTTACCTTAGCTTCTTCCCCCGGCCAGCAAGAAAAGATACCTATCTTTCCGCAGTACAGATAGGTAGGTGAGTGGCGCTCGGTCTGGTCGTTGCGGCCAGGAAATCCAAGGGCAAAGGTACCTTACCTTGACTCAACACCAGACCAGGGGACCAAAGCTCAAAACAAGACACACCCGTACTACATGCGCTACTGCGGCTGCTACTACTATCTAAGGTGTATCCGTACTTGCTCTCCACCACCGGCAACGGCAACGCGGCGTCGAGTTACGTTAGATTATCCAAGTGATAAGCCGCTGCCACCCGTAATCTATAAACTTGGTCTTCCCCCTCCCCCGCCTCGCAGGACATCGTTCACAGCTTTCCTTCTTCTCTTTGCTCATCTTTCTGTTGCGATTGACCAATTGATACCCCTCTCTTCCCTCCTCCCCCTCCGATATCGCACAAAGCCCCCAAGTCGCCATCGTCTCTGTACACACACCCCAGAGAAGCCGTCTCACTCTGTTGGTGACACGACGACAGAGAGGAGCTTCAGTACTTGACTGAAGGAGAGAACTCGCACACATTCACACACATAAACACATCAGACACAATGGCCCTCCTCAGAGCCTCCGCGTCCTTGGCGCGTCCCGCCGCCCGCGCGGCTCGCACACCTACCGTGCGCAGAGCATTTTGCCTCTCCGCTCCGCGCATGGCCACCGCCCCGAGCCTGTTTGCCGGCGAGCCCTCCGGCCCGACCCTCAAGACTGACATCCCCGGCCCCGCGTCCAAGAAGGCCACCGAGGACCTGCACAAGGTCTTTGACACCCGGAGCTTGAACATGCTCACCGACTACAAGAAGAGTCTGGGCAACTACATTGCCGACGCCGACGGCAACGTCCTCCTCGATGTGTAAGTGAAATCATGTAGAAAGAGACGAATGATAGCTATATAGCTCTACGTGGGATCAAAAGCTTACGAAATGTTGACAGCTACGCTCAAATCGCCTCCATTCCCCTGGGCTACAACAACCCGGCCCTCGCAAAGGTCGCCCAGACCCCCGAGATGGTCAACGCAATCATCAACCGTCCCGCCCTGGGCAACTTCCCCCCCGAAGACTGGGCCGAGGTCCTCCGCACCGGCATCCTCAAGGTGGCGCCCAAGGGCCTCGACCAGGTCTTCACCGCCATGGCCGGCTCCGACGCAAACGAGACGGCCTACAAGGCCGCCTTCATGTGGCGCCGCCAGCAGGAGCGCGGCGGCCCGGACGTCGAGTTCACCGCGGAGGAGACCTCCTCCGCCATGAACAACCAGTCCCCCGGCGCCTCCGACCTCTCCATCCTCTCCTTCAAGACGGGCTTCCACGGCCGCCTCTTCGGCTCCCTCTCCACCACCCGCTCCAAGCCCATCCACAAGCTCGACATCCCCGCCTTTGACTGGCCCCAGGCGACCTTTCCCTTGCTCAAGTACCCGCTCGAGGAGCACGTCGAGGAGAACGCCGCCGCCGAGAAGGCCGCCCTCGACGAGGTGGAGCACCTCATCAAGAACTACCACATCCCCCCCGCCGCCGTCATCGTCGAGCCCATCCAGTCCGAGGGCGGCGACAACCACGCCTCCCCCGCCTTCTTCCGCGGCCTCCGCGAGGTGACCAAGAAGCACAACGTCCTCCTCATCGTCGACGAGGTCCAGACCGGCGTCGGCGCCACCGGCAAGTTCTGGGCCCACGACCACTGGGATCTCCCTACCCCTCCCGACATGGTCACCTTCAGCAAAAAGGCCCAGACGGCGGGCTACTACTTCGGAAACCCCGAGCTGCGCCCCAACAAGCCCTACCGCCAGTTCAACACCTGGATGGGCGACCCGGCCCGCGCCATCCTCTTCCGCGCCATCGTCGACGAGATTGAGCGCCTCGACCTCGTCAACAACACCGCCCGCGTCGGCGACTACCTCTTTGGCAAGCTCGAGGGTCTGGCGAGCAAGTACCCCGGCCAATTCGCCAACCTCCGCGGAAAGGGCCAGGGCACCTTCATCGCTTTCGATAACCCGCGCCGCGACGAGTTCCTCAAGAAGGCAAAGGGTCTGGGCATCAACATTGGCGGATCCGGCGAGAGCGCCGTCCGTCTGAGGCCCATGCTCATCTTCCAGGAGCACCACGCTGACATTCTCATCGAGGCCCTGGAGAAGATTGTCAAGTCTTGGTAAAAGAGGAGGAGAAAAAAAGTCAATAGGCTCAAGTAAAATGGTTGAAATGTGGCTCATGTTTGGGTGTTTTTTACGGAAGCATTATCTGCGGTTGGGGTTCTCATCTGGTCAATATCATGATTTAGCGTATGAGTATTAGTCTCTGAACAAAACAAGTTCACAAGAGGACATTTTGAAAGAACCGATTTCTACAATAATACCAATCTTTCATAGTCCATGGCTTTCATGAATGGCACTTGGCGGTCCGGTTTGTGTAACACCCGCGAGATGTGTACGCCCATCCCGAGCGGAACTGAGGCCATGTATTCCATGTCCTATCATATCGTACACGTCGTTCTCCGTCATGCCCAGTCCATGTACCTCATCCATTGGTTACACGTCTGTCTCCCCTGAACTCCTTGAACCAGATGAAAAAGGCAAATAGCCACCTCTGACCGCCTTGTTCTGTCCGCAGCCGGTATATGCAAAATGAAATTCAAAAAAAAAACAAAAAAAAGTCCGACAACGCCATAAGCTCTAGAAATACACATCCATTGTACCAGACAACTGCTGCACAGGATGAGCCAAAAAGGTCTTGTACTAAGCCGTCGCTGGCAAATCAAAGGCCGAATGACGGCCATGATGAGACTTTGCCTTTTCAGGCTATGGGTTCGAAGGTGTAGCAGTGGATGGATGGTTTCCAATCATCGTCGCTCCAGGCTCGTCAAGAACCGCTAACTCGCCAGCCCTTCTTGTTGTAAGCGGCCAATATTCGGGATGGCCTTTTCCTTTTGCGAATCCGACACATCTTCGTCCTCGTTGTAGGCGTCTCTGGGTATGTCATCAGATTGCTGGCGCGATGATTCACTTGGTGTTGACCGCCCAGACTCTGTCTTAGTTTGTTCGCCTGTGGAGGTGCCCTAGGGTACGGATCAGGACTTTGGGTCAACTCGCAGAATCATGTCCACTCACCAACTGTGTCCTGCCAAACGACTTTGGCCGACCTCGTCCTCGCCTTATTGGCTCGTTGACGGCGTCCGAAGCTGGACCGGGTGATAATCTGTACACGGCGAACTCTCCTGGTGTTGTTGGGCTTTCCCTAGCTATTGGCCGGGGCGCCGGTGCTAGAGGTGTAAGGTGCTGCGGCAGCAAAGGTCGTAGTTGTCTCGCCTTGTCCGCCCGTGATGGTCGACCTCGTTTCCGCGGGAGCGGCGCTTGCTGTTGTTGGCCAGGGCTTCGAGAGCCGTTGGCCACCCCGGCGATCTCCATGCCGGCGGGTCGCGGCTGTATGTTGGCAAGCTGCTGATTATGCAGCTGCGGAGGCGCTGGCAATAACGACGATACGGGCATCGAGCTTGAGTAGGTTGCGAGGCCTTGAGTTGCTGAGGCCAAGGGTGGTAATTGCGCTGGTGGCTCCATAGGCGATGCGGCAGCCAAACGCTTTGGCGGCTGTTCGAGGAGGTCGTTCATGGACTTCCGCTTGAGGTCTGGGACCCGCATGGGACCTTGGAACATCTGCTCGGTGACCGCGAGACATTGTCCCATAGTGCGGCCTGTGTCGTAAATGTCAGCATGAAACCTGGAGTTCATCAAGGTTGACGATCCGTA